GGTGTCGAGTCGCGGTAGACTATGAATACAACTACAGAGAAACACGTGCCAAATAAATCACAAGGAAGCGAAATATCAGAAGGCAGTTAATGGGCCACTTCGAGATATATTTGCTGGCGATCTCGTGGCATCGAAAGAATACCGAGATAGCTAATAGCAAAAATAAGTACTATTGTGAAGCGGTAACGAGAAAGCACTGAAAGGCACGATTCGATAGTCAAAACATCTTGAACTCAGGTGACCAGGTTGTCTGAGATCGTATGTGATGAACTTCGGAAATCAACCAATACCTGTCTAGCTCACGTGCTGATGCCGTAAATGACAATTACTCATATCTCACGTGGGACTAAAATAAAATAGGCATCAATAATTTCAGATTACATAGGACGATTCAAAGTAAGTTCATATAGTAGTCTTCATATATGTTCTTTGTCTAAGTTTCCGAAGTGCAACCTGTCCAAAGAATTAAATAATACAAGCAACGTAAGTTTGCGACTCAGGGATTTTTAGGCAACGCAAGAGATAAAGCAATTAAGCGTGGTTGACTATTCAGAGAAAGGGTGTGCTAAATGCACTTTAAATCTGTAATTCAATACCGGTTTCTGTTTTTATAATAATAATAATAATAAATTTAATTTCTGAAAAATAATAATTACAGAATTCACGCCAGTTTACAGGCATGATCAATTTGATATAAGTAATAACGTTAAACGTGCAGAAAAAAAACATGTGATACTAGTTACTGGTAAACATTTAAACTGCAATAATTATTTCCTGTCTATCTTATTTCCAGCTGGCTTCGCAAGTGTTCACAGACCTAACGAGAACAATTTTTAATAATAATAATAATAATAATTTATTCTCAAATAACAGTTTGTTACATGAGGCATGCCAGTTTACAGGCAAGATCAAATTGATACAAATGATACAATATACAGTGTAATAAATTACATAGCTGGGTCGATAATTTATAAGATATGAATGTAGATGGTTTTAATCAGTACCACAGTTGGCGCGCTTCATGAGAGTTGCGTTGCGAATGTGTGACTGATGGTCAAGAATAAGTCCATTGAAGGTATGAGCTTTTAGAAATCGCAACCTTATGTCCCTTTGGGATATCCAAGGCTTTAAGGATGGTGCAGGATGAAGTCACCAGTTCCATATCTCAAGGCGGCTGAAAGAGGGAGCAAGTAAAAGAAAACACCAGAGGCAGAGTAGCCAATATTCATGAAGGAATGTTTAAGGTATGATTACTCAGTCTAATTTTCCTTTATTAAGTTATATGTTAAGAAAGAGCATTTTAATAGGTTAAAGAAAATAAGTGTTGACAAGGTGTGAGTGGACATACAACTGACAAATGGAGGCGATTCGTAAAGAGCTGAGAGTATAATACTATGTGTGATTATAAAATAAAATATAGTGCTATAAACTGTATTGTGATATACAATTGGCTGTCTTCCCTTTATTATCGAAGCTATTAGAGCCCCTTTTGTTTTTTTTAAATATTCCCCCCCCCAGTTATTATAGGGTCTTGAGTAGGCTTGGTATATTAGGGCATTGTCTAGTTTGCTTGTAATAGGATTTCTGGGTAGGAAGTGAAACCAATTCAACGTTCGTAACACGACTTAAAGAGGTATTTTGAGTGATAAATCAGCTTCTGTACCATAAGTTCGTGACATCTCACTAAACCATAAGGAGCCGTAATTAAACAAAATGTTCTGCCCTACAGACATGGGTGGATTGAATTTATCTCCCCATCATCATGTTTGCTGGTCAGTAACGCCACCCTCCCTCCTTTTGTGATGTTAGGCTCTCTTACGTTTGTGGTAAGTATGAATACTGCTTTAATCAAAGCGAATAGTTGGAATACATTGTCTCTACTAGGTCCATGTTACAAGCAAATCAGATAGTTGAAAAGTCTGTTTTATGGGTTAGATGTCCACATAGTATATCACACTGCTATGAAAATAACTAATGGTTTTTAAGAGGTAAGGACCAATAGCGAATCAAAATATATGAGAGGGTATAAAATTGTAGAAAAAAAAGATTTCATGGTAAGACAAATAAAACATTGAGAAACTCACAAGACTTTGTGGCCAAATTTTGAGCTTTGAATGATCGGCCTTAGTAGATCAGCATTCATAAGACTGAGCTATCTGTCTACTTGCAGTAGAAAAAAAGGCATGACTTTTAGGAAGAATAATGTACATTTAACGTGTAGAGATTTGGGAACTGAAAGCTAGGGTTAGGAGCATGAAGTCATGATTAATAAACAATGAATAATAGGAAAGGATAAGCCATATATTCTGTGATTTGGTTATATTCATATTAGTAGCAGTCGAACTTGTTATAATTTTGTTCTTTCTAGATACTAGGCGGTCCGGAAGTTATTTATTAATGGATTATTTGTGCTGGATTTTAATTTTAATAAACATTTTCATTAATAATGCATCAGTCTTTTGATTATGACAGTGCTTATCTATCTTGACTGGTCGAAATTCGAAATAGTAGTACAGTACATCATGTTCAAGGTTGGAGTATATGGTAAACGGTCTGTATGACTAACTGCATGTGCTCCAAACTGGTAATTATTACACAAGAAGGCAAAACAACATTCCTGTCTCACAGACACATAAGACACAGTATTACCTTGTCTACTGGCTGCTGTGTCTAAATAAGTCTACAGTGCTTCTGAGACATTCTTTTAGGTGTTTACGAGCACTTTCGACACGGCTGTTTGTGTGGTCGCCCAGGCTTAATACATGTCGCCGGTAACTGCGAGCCCACATTGACTTCCGGGAAATCCAGTTATCTTGTATATAATCATACGTCCGTGAGAAATGGGTTCTTAGATGTTCGTACTTCTGAGTATATCTGAATATAGTGCGTGATGAAAAGCGAAGCTCACATGTCAGACCGTCTAGTCTTCACAAGGTGTTTCAAGCATTTGCGTACATTAGGATTTCGGAACTAAAGAAAATAATTTGTACAGCTAACACATAGCTTCCTCACAAATGCTCTTAAGACATGGAATAAACAAAGTGCTGTGTTATAATGAATGTGCGTAGACTGCACTGCTGAAATTTTAGTCGCTGCCGAATCCATAACGAAAGTGTGTGTATCATGAGTATCGCACGTTATATCTTTAAAGCATTTCAATGCTTTTTCGACATTACGTCGTACTTGCCTGCAAAGAGCATACATGAAAGTGTGCCCTTGCCCAAGCTTATGAGTCACCAGTAGCTGGAACAGTGGAAAACTTTAAGATAAATTTATTATTAATCATTACTTACCCAACTTTGTTGGTCTGATAGGCCGAGTCAATACATACAACCTGGGTACAACTGTGAACGCATTTTGGCGATTTCGTTCTTGGCAGGCTGTTTATGGAACTTCGAAGAAACCAGATGCCGTAAGCTCCGAGTTGGCGTATTACTCAATGGTAACGTTCTTAAATATAAGCGTTCACTTGACGTCAACTGTCGTCTCGATGGATCTACAGAAATATATCTTTCTGTGCAAGGATGGTTGTGCATGGTTTCAATAGAGGTGACTTTCTGCTCACCATTTAGTGCACGGACTCAAAATCCAGATTGACAATTGCAATATTTCGACCTGAAATATAAATTCATTTGAAGTAAAGTATACGTAGATGACCGACGTCGTCTTCGTTGTCTAGGTTGTGGTGGCGAGTTAGAAGTTGTATGTTCTTCATCATCTACATCCTGAACACAGGCATCTGACTCTGACGAACTGCGATGACGTTCATTGTACAGACATATCTCACGAAAAAATACTTTAGAGTTGGGTCAGCACTGTTCTTTCTACATAATAACATAACGTACTTAGTATGCGTATACGACAAAAATAATTGTTAACCACCGAAGTCATATTACCGTATGTACTTCTTTCGAACAGGCCTCAAAATTATCCAAACTTGCAAAACTTCGAGATAACATTATGTCATTGAATATTAATCCTATATCATGGCATCGTCTTCGTTACTTGAAGAATGGACGTTATGAGATATGGTGTGGCTGAACTCAATTTAAACCTAAAAATATCTTGATATGGCCGCTTCTGTAAAACTTCACAAATTGTCGATGTGACGCACCAATCATCTTGCGAGAGCTTGACCTTCAAGTGCTCGCAAACTCCAACAGTAGATGATACCCCTAGGGTATTGCTTGAAGACGCTCGATCATGCATACGCATCATGCTGGTCTGTATTCAATTATTTATACACGCATTTTGGGGATTTTTAGTTAGCACATAAATTCGATGTCTAAGTAGTTCTCATTCCACGGTGGTTGATATGGACGATAGAACTGGATGACACTGAAATAAAATTAACGGATGTTTCCCTTTTGGTAATGATTAATAACGATTCTTAGGTACAAAGAATTTCCACTGTGATCCGTATACTCATGTAGCGGCAAATAAATCCCCAAAATAAATATTTCTGTAAGTTTTCCACATTGGATGCTGACCACATTAGTTCTAATGGACTCACCTAGCTCAGGGCGCTCGATCATGCATCCACATCAGACCACGAGTGAGAATGCCGTGCTCAACAACCCCTGCAATCGCTAACCAGATTAGACCAGACGATCCTCGATATATTGATAGCCTGTCAAAAATATCTTTGAACCCCCTCACTTATGTCATTTGATTTCACTTCGTGGGTACGATTCATATTAAGTGTTACTGGTTAAAGCGTTGTCAAACTCCGAATACCTGTGTCATCTTCACTCACTTCTGATTTCGCACTTTCAGTAACACATTATTCCTGTAGCGATTGTTTAGGATGGATTATTCAAAGTGCTCACACCTATTTTTTTAAGTGGTCTATCATTTACGAACTACCGTTATCTGTAAGCCCAGAACCGTGAATATTATAATACATAACGAAGAAAATTCTCTCATAATTTTATGCAAGAAAAAGTTTACCGATTCAGACATACATCATTTCATGAAGTGTTTTATTAGACTAAATTCAGGGTTTTCGAAACTTGTGTATGCGTTTCTGCGCACTATTATTTATTTATAACATGTACACAAACGCAAATTACGATGAGCTTTCTCACTGGTGTAGTCAGCTACCGATATTCTGTTACTCATAAAATCTTAGTCCTAGTTTGGAGAGATGTGATCAGTTGAAACATGAAAAAGAATTATTAATAGAAGAAATCGCAAAGTTGTATTGTCATTTACAGTCGGCGGAGGATGCCATCGCAGAACACTCAACAAAGGAGGATCTTTTGAGTCAGAAGCTTAACAGGTATAACATTTCAGCATATACATCAACAAAATAAATCATTTATATAAGTGGATAATGTTATCATAATCATAAATATAAAAATTGTATATTCTCATATTCACTTTTTTATTTTTGATATTTTTGCATAGTTTCCCTTTCATCACTTCTGTGTTATTAGTTTGCAGTCGCTCGTTTTGTTTTGTATTTAAGGCCGTGAGAGTGCTCGACAGCTCCTCTAGATTGTATACCTTGAGTTTTCAGGCATCTGATGCACTTGTACTATTTTGTTTTGAATATTGGCAGACATAAAAATCATAGTTTAGTGGTTTATGGTACAGAATATTGGCATCCATGAGGCTTTATTGATATCTATTTTCCTTTAATTGTATAGAAGGATAAAGTGTTAGTTTCGGTCAAAACGTCAGGTAATTTGTTGTCACTGGTATAGTTGTATCCCTCATAATTGTCTATGTATCCAGAAATAGGTATGCGTTTAAGTGTATGTATAAACATATATATAATTTTCGTTTATTGGTTGCAGTGTATTATCTTCTTAGTTCCAACCAAAGGCCGTATAAATCTTAATACTTACGAGATGGATAGGCAGAAAGATTCAGCGTGTTTATTTACCATTGCCTAAGCCCATGTTAAAAACTCGTTACCATGCAACGTTTTAACCGATACTTGATTGCCTTTCTGCTTATTCATTCATCAACTTCGACTTATTAATATGTCTCCGTTTTGATTATTACGATCAAAAATGCAGCCGGTTATTGGTTGTATTATGGTTGGCAGTAACTTTGAAACCATTTTATGCAATATTAATGACTGAGAATACTTATTGTACGACTTTTGTTTTGTTTCTTTGATTATTGTGTCCAATTTTGTTGAGACGATTTGTTTGAAGCATGTCGGCCACTGTTTCTAACCATGCTATCCCTCATAACTTTGTACTATTCTCTGATAAAGAGAGTTTTGTTTGGTATGTATTCGTTTTGATCTGTTGATCTTGTTGTTACTAGTTAGCTCAAGCTCATTAGTATCACTGAAATATGTATGTTTCTGAATTAAATCTTAGTTACACGAAATAAAGCTTTTCATTTTTTTATTAATATGAAAAACCATCATATCGAAGAACTGAATCCTAGTTGAGAATGTGAGACAGTTTATTCAAAGGAAGTTAAAAACTGGAGCAGTCACTGCATTTTATGAATAGCATCATCTTACAAATTTAGATATTCAGTTTAAGTTTCCAAATGAAGATCAATACTGGGATCCATGAATGTCCGGCTGAAAAGTCCTATGCAGGAAAAAACAACTCTAGATTCGATTGTCAACCACAAACCAACATCACAATCAAGTAGCTTGTCCCGATTAACTTACTTAATCCATTCAAAAAGAAACGGTTGTATGGAGTTTTTAAATAATCTTACCATAAATCTACCTTGTAGTTTCATCCTTACTCACCATATATCATTATTTAAGGTTAAATATGCTTTTATTGCGACTCTATGGTGGAGTTTTGTTCTCTGAGCTGGATGGTTTGGTCGTGGAGCTTTCATCGTTCTTCTGAACGACATCATCGCACAAACTTCAAATAGAAGTGAAGTGTTCGAATTTCTCCATATGTGTTTCACAGCTTGTTCTGTGCAACTCGATGTTGATTGGTTCTTGTTGACCTTAAATTTATCATTGTTTACTTCTTTGTTTTGGTTGTGTCTCCCATTGCGACTCTATGATTCTCAAATAACTCTCATGTTTCTTAATTTGTCAAGCTTATTCACTAACACGTTTTGCTTCAAAATCTATTGAAATCCAAGCGCTCCTTTGTTTGTGAGTTTGTTTTTCACACTATGAATTTTTCTGTTGACATTTTCAGCCACCATCTAGGCCTACAACTAAATTTCTAGTACCATTATTTTTGTACCATCTTTTAACGATTTTGTTCTGTTAATCAACAGCACACTGTGTATATCTTTCCTAGTTTTATAAGCGTTTAAAATATAACGATTTAGTGCCTAATTTTTGATAAAATTCACGATTATTTCTTTTCAGCCTTTCAGAAATTGCGGCAGAAAGAGATGAGTTGTTGGATCGTTTGGACAAAGAAATGACATATAAATATACCTTGGAAAGTTTACTAGAGGAACAGAAGCGTCGCAATGTAGAGTTGGAATCTAAAGCAGTGGTACTCGAAGATAAAGAAGCCATGTTAAGTAGCAAGGTTATTTTTGATTACTTTTATCGTCTTATAATGTTTGACCACCGGACCAGTTAAAACATGGCATTCTAATTTGGTTATTTTAATTTTCGCCAAAATAAACTTTCAAAATCATGAAAAAAGCCGGAGTGTAAATATTTAAAAGGCTTCTGTTGATGAGAAATATTACATAGGAGACATGATATTCTGGTATTAATTACGCGTCAATCAACCGGAAAAACAAAGCAATTGCTTCAAAAATCCCCTCTTTTTATTTATCATATGTCAACTTACTCTTGGCAGTTTCTCGATAGTAATTTAAATTTGTCTCTCTAAACCTAGTTAGCAGGTGTTACAAAGCATAATTTGAATTTGAAATGAATGAAAGGCTGGACATATGGTCACCGATAGATACTTGTAAATTATCGAAGAGTGTACAACTTTCTTTCATGCATGTAGTAAGTTGGCGGTTGTAAGAGACCTATTTAATAAACGGATGTCATCTATCCATTTACTTGACATTATTTGATAAGTATTCTTCAAGTTGTACTTCATCATGTGAGTCCGAGAAACTGTCATTTAGGTAGCAGTTTTTGAGGAGGCCCTGACTCCGTAGTACAACACTATAATCCAAGGCCGAAACGTCACTGAAACAAATTCATCTATAGGAAACGATGAACATCGAATCCTCTACAACGTTTAATAAAATATGAAAACGGCTTCTTTATATTTAGTGAAGTTACCATTTTACTGTTACTTGAGACTTTTTTGACAAGCAATTAAATCTAATCACGAAAAACTTCGGGGCAGTTTCTACTTAAAACCAAAGTAGTACTAGAATACATAATGGGATAAATATATTGATGTCTTTACTGTTGTGGTCCCCAAATGCCCTGGTACGGCAGAGAGTAAGGAGAACCCGCTCTCCCTCTCGAAGTGCTCTTACATGGTCACGTGCATAAAACCACTGACAGGGAAGTCCTACTCACTGCCTTCTCGCGGCATTACTGTTGTTTAAGAAGTTCAAAGGACGAAAAGCGAATGCCCGGCGCTTTAACCGGGTCGGTGGACACGGAAAGTCTATCTGGAGGAGATGGAAAATCCTAATTCCAAACCAATGGTGCACATGGGCTCCAGGATCCTACAGGAACAAATAGCATATGAACCAATCGTTGGTCACTGTCTACCATGGGACTGCGTCTCCTGACGTTGCTCCACTGCATTGTGGATTAGACCTTCAAATCAAAGGCTCTGCGTGTGGCATCCTTAGGACATGACCTGCTTTGGTTTGGGAACCCAAGCAGTATCCCAGACCTCACACAAATCGAGTGATTTGCGCAGCGCATGTCTTTTTAGTGCCTCTTTGTACCAACCTTCATGTGTCTAAATAAAATAAATAATAAATAGTACTGTTGTGGCTAAATGCGGGGTACTAGAAAAATATAGGAAGTCAGTTGATAGTATTTTGAATAATAATCTACTGATGTAGATTAAGCATATATCAGGTATGCCTTACAACTCTTTCATCCTCAATATTTGCTTGCGTAGAAATAGGTCGGAAGCAATCTGGAGTTTTTGGTGGTCATATTCTTTAAGTTAATGTTCTAACTGTGGAGTTTTCATCATTCTTCTGAACGACATGAACAGCACATACTTCAAGCAGAAGTGGAACATTTCTGTTTCTTCATATTTAACAAACAACTTGTCCTGTCGACTTCGATCTTGATTGGCTGTTGTTGACCTTTAGCCTGTCATTGTCATCATCTTTATTTTGATTTTCTCCCTCTTCGACCTGACTCTTGATTCAATATTCGTTCAAGATTTTTTCAATTAGCTGGAAAATTGGATCGGTTTTGATGTGCTTGTTTATTGCTGATTTACTTGAGTCCCAAGTTTCTAAAAGTCCTCTGGCGTTCTTAGTATTCTTTCCATCCAAGATCTTAACATTTTTCTAGTCGAACATGTGCTTACAACTATCCACATGGATTGATGTGGGCGAAGATATATCATGGCGTATGACAACTAGTTATCGTTCCTGGAGCTGAAGATAATGGGGCATTCACTCTATCCGATGCAGTTCACAGATCTTGTTATTGAGTATAAACTATGTTGTTAAATCCATAAGTTCTGTTAGACTTTTACTTTGTAGCCTCGTAGACGTTGGGGGATTCGCACCATTGGTTAGATTTGAGGATAAAGTTTTATTTGCTAAGTTTGTTTCGCTTGAGGTGAATAAGGGTCTAACGTCCAAAGATATAATTAGTTCGCCGTTGTTGGTTTAAATATCCCTAATCTTATTCAGTAACTGTGAGGTAGAATTATTGAAAAGATCAAATAAATCCACCAAATGTTTCAACGTTCTTGAAATCCCTGTTAATAACTTGTGTTATGGGGTTGTGGATAGTGACACAATTGAACGTAGCACAAGGTTCGCTTTGTGTACTTTCGGCCTATAGTTGCAAATTCTAGACATGTCTCAGAATTGGTTTTGATGGTGTAGACGCATTTACTTGTCTAACTCTAAATCTTGAGTTTCGAAATTGTTACTACTCTTACCATAATTGTATTCATTACGATAAGTTTATCTTGCTGTGCTGATACAATGGCGAAACGTGGACATTTACGCCAGATTTTCACAGCGTTTATGATTATTGAAACGTTTCAAGTATGGGATAACGTTTAGAAGGGTTAGTTTTACCAGAATTAAACGATGTTTACGGACAACTGCTCGCCCATTCTTTCTGTATACTCCAGTTAGAACAGTTTGATGTTATAAAATCTGAAATTTTATGATCTTATAAACCATGTTACAGTCACTAGGATGGTAGACGCTCTTAAACAGAATAATAGTTGCTGTGGAGTACAAAATTCCGTACTGATTTTTCCGCATTATGATGGATATTTTTGTTTGTTGTTTTATATTTACAAAATAACGTTCTATTTTAATATACGTTGCCTATATCCGTTATCGGATTCAGGCTAATAACGTTACAATTATCTGTCATATGCAGGACTTAAGACTTTAAGTCATATATACGATTTGACGCCACAAACAGTGACAAGTCAACGTCTGAAATAGGCAATAAGTAATTTTCCTTCTGCTCCGTAAAGCAGATTTTTTGATCTAGCTACACTAAATATTGGTTTGCATGTTTACACTTGCAGCTATTTAAGCTGGAGAAGCAACTAGCAGAAAGAGATGAACATATCAAAGAGCTATTTCATATAATTCATGATTATGAGGTTTGTCGCCTTAAACAATATTAGAACTTAATCTCTTATAGAACGTGTTAAATAGAAATCAAGAACAGGTAACCAAAACGTCACACGAATTATTTGTGGTAAGTCGGTTTTTTTTTTAAAACCAGCATACTACAGGCAAAATCTGAACTTTCTGAACTTCGTGCCATAGTAAATGATATTGAAGAAAACGTAGGTCAAATTTTGCAAACGTTTTGATGAATACAGATCAATCTAATGCAAATATGCAGTTCTAAAGTCAATGAAGTTGAAGAAAATATACAATCTATTTCATCATATGAGGGGTATGTTGTATTGTTGACAAATGAGTTTCCGTATGTGTATATAAGAAGACTAATTTGCCTCAATTATCTAAGTAAAAATGAAGCGTTTCATCATTTTCATGTCCAAGTCACGATAAAGTTTATTACTGTTCGCTAACGCTATAAATGCACCCAAGTATTTATTATTAGTGATATATGATGTTATTGACAGAAATGTCTTGGATTCATTATTCATTAAACAACAAGGAATGGTATTTCTAGACGTAGGTAAGTAGAAACTAAGTGAGGAAGACATATCGTTTCATAAAAAATGGAAAAAGGAAATTCTACGAAAGCTGCTATATGAAGACAACCGTATCGAAAGTTCACGATCGATACCATTAACTGATTGAGTTAACCATCACTCAGCTATGTACTAACTTTCCAATTTGGTTCTACTGTGATTTTATCAAATGTGGTGAAATATTTCGCAAAGATGTTGGGTGACTTTTGTATTTCCGAACTGAAAGGTCTGAGCACGTACTGTTCAGTCAATACACTAATTTTTAATAAAACTTTAAGCATAGCACAATAATGTTCATATATAAATATATTTTTCCATTTAGTTCACGCTAGATGATTGAGTAAAGGAATCTAAAATTGGTTTTAAAATTTAAATACATACTGAATAAATCTAAATCACTTAATTATAAAATATATTATTAGGTAAAAAAAGATTGCTAAGTCGACTAGTTGCAAAATAGTGGAATAAATGAAAACCGGTGATAAATATTTAATCATACTCTCATTCTGAAACAGTTGTCGATGGACTTGCAACTAAATATTTATCGTTTAATCTTAAAGTTAGCATTGTTGGTATTTTTATTGACTCTCAACGAGTTAATAATCCATGCCATCACAAATTAAATAAATGTTCATACTCTCTGCACAAGTGAGTGACTATCCTGACTCAGTACCTAGGTCGATAACGCGTCAGGCGTTTGGAACAAAAGGTAGTGTATCCGAATACGGGATTTAACATGAACTCTGGAATGCAGGTGCATCCATTTGATAAGCCTCAAAAAGGGTGCCTCCTGCATTTTATTGTTAATCGCACTATATATATTCTATATAAATGCATTTTACTTAACCCACAAACATAATAACAGACGTTATCAAATCCAACTAATTTCATTCCGGCCAAAGCCTGGCCATACTTTTGTTTGACTAAAACTGTAAAAGTTTTAATGTTCAAGTTAAAAATGTATTGCATTTGAAATAAAAGACAAGACAGGAAATAAACTATCTTCCAGTGATTATTAATTCATAGTTTTCCCTAGATGTACTAATTTTATCCTTGTCTGTTCATCAAAATTTAGTTGTGGATAGTAAAATGACTTTTTAGCTAACGAATTTTTTATATTCGTTTCAACTTGAAAACAGGTCTAACTTGCCGAGGAATGTTCCAGACATTGATCACAATCGGTCGAAAATTTCAGTAATCCGGTCACACAACGTGGAGTCATTGATTCAAATTCAGCCACCAACTGCAAAAATCAATCAGAAAAGCTTAGCCGACGAACTTTTTGAAATGGAAGCTGATCACTCTATTTTATTTAGATATGGTATTCAGCATATTAATAGTTGTGCATATTATCGAAACTCATTTACTTTTGAAAATAGAACAGTAGAAGAATTCCTAAGAGATCTGGTACAGATATTTTTAAAATTTTATACGTCCCTTACTTATTTATAACTGTATGTATTTATAAACACATTTTCGCTATTGATTTGTCCATTCACTTTCGAATGTTTCAATCGGTTCTATCCCAAATGTTTTCATTGATGATTAACGTCGTAGTATCTGAAACAGGAATGAAATAACAATGTAATCCTTTTCTCGCTTTTAGTGGTTCTCTAGCTGATATCAGTCATTTATGAAAGTCACTTCAAACACAAACGTTTAAGTTAGGTAATGAAAGCTTACTATAGCAAAGGTGATTCATCGATCGGTATCCATATGTGGAAGCTAACGTACACATCCTTTGAACACTATTAGCAAGTTTTGCATCATCTATTGAGTCTGATGTTGTTTGCTACTGAGATAGAGTTGTTTAACAAGCATACTATCAAACAACACTGTATATGATTCACAATAATTTAACACAATGTAAGCTTTATAGTTGTTTTTATTATCGCTAATTATCAAGTATTTTTGAATGTATTATCAAATAATATTTATATGCACCAAGAATTTGTTTAGAAAATAACCAATACTACTGACTTTAGTGGCATTTATCACTTTAAAAAGTGTCAAGCTGTCAAACTATGAATTACGAAAGTAATCAACTTTATATTGGTTATCATCTGAAAATTAAAATGACCGAATTAATTGTATAACAGTGTATCTTATCATGATTTAGCACATGTGTCAATTCCAAGTATAGAATATTTTGATTCTGAATTATTTTGTTGTTAAAATAAATAATGTCATCTAACACTATTGGTATATTACTTTGGAGAGAGTTTTCTGAAGAACAGTCATACTGAATTGGAACACAGTATTTTCAACACCTTTAACACCAGATATAATGAATGAATTCGATATAAGCATTTAAGATACAGTGTAATGGAATTCATAGTAAAAATATGTTTAATGGATGAAGACACTGATGGATCATCAAATAACCTCCCAGTTTTCAAATTATGTGCATAATTTACATATAAATCGGATTCAAAATTAAAGTTCATTTTTTTCCAACATTAAAACAAAAGTTCACTTATTTAATTTACTCTAACAGTTGCAATATCCTTAAACTACACATTTTGATTCATTTCTTGATACAAGTCGATTCGTCTTCATACCTTCAAACTAAAATTGAGATGCAAAAGAAACTTGTTACGACACTACGATTACTGCTTACTGGATTATGAAAAAATACACGAAGGAAAACGTTACTGGTCTGCAGAAGACATAAATGATTTCAAATGTGAATCAGAGACATATTTCCACTTAATCATTAAACAGTGCACGGAAATTTCAGTGTTGTAAGTTTAATCGAGTTAAATTACAAAATAACCGAAGGTAAGCAAAATCACAACGATAACTCAGTTCTAAACTTTTGTCCAAGTATGTTCACATGTTGAATTCGGTTTGTAGTGTCAATGTGAATTATTCAATCCGAAGTGAGTCCAAGGTTTAGCACATGAGGCTGTGTATCTAATTTCATCTAAATCCAGTGATGCACGTCCATGACAGGGGTCAAGTTAGGAATTTTCATACATATATATAAACTGAGTTCATATGAACGTATGTTTGTACTTTTATCTTAATATAAAAGGTAGTCAAAGACAAACTAATCAGTTAACTAAACAATTGGATGTCAGTTGTCGTTTTTTGTATTATTGGTCATAATATTTGAGGTATAAAAGGAATATATAGTAGCAAAGAACTTGTTTTCATTTTGTTAACTGTACTTCATTCTGCCTACGAAGATTATTTTGATTCGCCTTTATATCCATGTGTTCGGATGTCAATCCTTCTTTAGAAGGCACAAGAACTTTCTGAAAGACTTTGGTTTCACTGAAGTCAGTTTGTATCTGGTTTCCAATAAACATAGTGATGAGTGGATAAGAACGGTACTTGAAATGTGTTTTAGTCCTCAGAAAGTAGAAAAATAGATCACTAATAGTACTACTGTTCAGGTCAATCTTTATGAAAGCGTTTAAATCATAAAAACAATTTATTTAGACTTTCTTACGTTCACAGTCAAAACTTAACACTCAGAAACTGGAATTATACTTAGTAATTTAAATAATGTTTCTTAGGTCCCAGAACTATACGGTTTACTGAAATAAGCAAATTATAATAAAAATTAATAGGGACTCATTCCCTATAAACTATTTTTTTAAAAGGACAGTTATAATTGCCGCTAAAAATTTCGAAACAGTGGCATTAAATATGTTGTTCGTCTAATCCTATGAAAACTTTATTAACGGTGACAGACGCCTTAGTTACTGCACTCAATCATTTATTTAGTGTAGTTTGTTATGGTTCTGCGAATTTACTCCATCAATCACTTAAACTAGTGTCCACAAACCAGCGCTCTCTCCAAAATCATTTGCAATAAACTAACTACATAAGTAACCAGAAAAATAAACGACAAATTGTATGGTTTTCTCCTTTAAATTTATTTTTTATTATTCCAAACTACTTAGAACAGAAATGCATTTTCAAAAAGCACCAACACTTTGGACCAATGTGCCATCAAATTTCGGAGCGCGATTTCCAATGGTAGGTTACTTCGCTATCCATTCACTTTGCTATAAAACTTCGATAAACCAAAATAAAAATGGTGACATTCATTTCATAAAACAAAATTACACTTTTTGATTAACTTACTTTAGATGTTTTTCGTCATTCTTCATCTTATAGAGTCCCTCTCCTAAGTATTCACTTTATATTGTAGACACTCATCAATCGATCTACTTTGGAAACGAGATCATCTTCAACACATGCTGTATTTTTTTCAGGTAAGTCAAGAAAGAAAATTAAAATAAGGGAGTGTGAAACTGGCATAAATAGACATTACCCATAGGACCTTAATAATGTACATAGATTGTTTCTGTTCTTGGTATATCAATAAATAATTAAACGACTAGTGGACTATAACAATGAGCACAATAGTACCAAAACATATTTACAAGTATATTTCCAGTAAAATGATAAGTAAACAGAAGACTAGGAAGTCATTTTATTATAAAAAGACAAGAAATAGTTCATTGATTAGAATAGTTCTATTGACAAAGGTATTTAGATATTTTTGTGCACGATAGGTCGTATGAGACTTAGGTAGTTTTGCAAATCAAGAGTTATGTCAAAGTAATTGGATATGCTTTGTAAGATAGGTAAATAGATATGCGTCATATAAAAACAATCTTACCAAATGTGCTATCTTTCTGTATTTATTATAATATTTAATAAATTTAAAACTTGTTTACATCAGTAGAGGGATGAAGAATAAATGAAACGAAGTGCCTAACTTTACTGTGTTTTATGTTTGAGAAAAATAAGTTGTTACCTAAACATCATATTTTATTCTAAAATCGGAAGTTTGTAACTTAATGAAACTTATGAAAATGTACGAAGGAATATCAGGGGACAGAAGCTTGGTAAATAAGAAGTGTATGAGACACCTTTTAAGAAAATAAATGTTTCAATTGAATAAAGAAATCGATATGCATGTCGTAATAAAACGTTTTTTAAAGGTGGTGTATAATAAAATACCCAAGTTTCAACAAACTACAATGCAAAGATAAAAAAGTTTATTACTGAAAGTATGATGGGAAACTATCCGGTCATTTGTTCTTTCTCTATATAATCTTTCCAATAAACTAAAGTTAGGATTTATACTAGAGCTGAAAGATAACATGTACAGATTGTTCTTATTATTCGAGGACTGATGCATAAAGTTCATTCATTTTGAACAAAAAATATGATATGTTAGGCAACACCATCACGATCTAAGTGCGATTTTTCAAGTATTTAATCATTAAAACTGAGTAGTTAAGAAAATGTAATGAGAATATATATGGTTGTAAACTACTGAATGAATTCGATGGAAACCCATAGTTTAAATCACACATTCGATTTAATCCCCTGTGAATGGTAACTTCGTACTTGATAACTCAAGCTAAAATAAAACGTTTCTGTTCAGCTAATGCAACAAGATGTTTGTTTAAAACCCAGTTTAATAAAGGGACTGTCATAGTAGACTTTTAAAATATTTACTTTATGACTGGTAGTTTTAAATCGGTTACTGAAATGATTTTTTTGACAGCAAATCAGTATTTGCTGTACAGTGATAAAAAAATTATAAAACATCCACTTAGTATTTTTTTATTTGTTCTTTTCATAAAAAGGACTAATCTTTCCAGTAGTACACGTGACTTTCAAGCCGAAAGAAAAATTTCTAAAATCCATTTCCATATTAACATTGGGAGGCAATATTTCACAAGACTGTTGAGTAGTTTGATTTCCGTCCCACAAAATATCTATCATTTCGACATTTTCAATTACCCTTTTTCTAATTATGTCGTTCCGACTTGAAATATTTCCATTTTTCGTAAAGATCAGTCCATATTTCCAGAGGATCGGCTGCATTTATCTTCCCAATGGTTAATGTATGAATAAAATATTGTTGAACTAACTAACAGCTTTTAGGTGCACTAAAACGTCGACTGGACATAATACGGGGTACATTATAATTTTCTGATAATCTATTTCTTGGTTTTCATTTGTAGGTTGAGTGGGTTTTATAAAATTGAGTTGCAAACACATCTCAAAACCCTTTACATTGCTTGTGAATCTTTTTTAATTAACATTTTACTGTCTTATCACTGATAATATAGGAAAGTTTGGAAATAAAGGAAGAGATACTTGTAACGGGACAGTAAAACATGAAAAGAAAGGTGTCGATGATTGGTCTTTGGTTCCAGTGATTACCGAAAGAAGCCAGTTGACTAAAACCAACTACCTCATTGCTAATCAAGAAAATGAAACTTTAGTAAATAACAAGTGAGTTTAGAACGTAAATGTTGAATATTTTGTGTTGAAAGTAGTTAATCAATTTTTTCACATTCAATTCATTCCTAAGTACTTTATGGTCACATAAACCAACCCAGAAATAAAGCGTTACAAAAATGTTCTATAGTATTAGCTATACTATATATCTTTTACTTACCTAACGCTCATCTGACGGTGTCAAATACAAATGTACTACATTTATCAACCAATTTACTGTTATTTCACATAGTCCAAAACAAACGATAATAACCGTTTTAATATGTGAATGGTTAAATAATCTATGCAAAAATGTAAGTGAGAACCATTTATGACCACATATCACCCTAATCTTGTTTAAATAAGACTCTCCGATCAATCGTTAAATAGCTTTCCAAAATTGATCTTTTGGGGTGGAGAAGGTTGAAAACGAGTTTTTGAACCGTTTATAAAAGTGTTACATAAATCACGGGATGTAAAAATTTTAGTCAGATGACATTGTTGAAAACTAAGTCAATTAGGACTCAAAATGTTTGTATTGAAAATACTGAAAGCAATCATTTACTGGTAAAACCATCATTTAGTTTCCTTATAATTAGCATTAAAAATATAATTTATTCAGTTCTAAGCACTTTATTAATCATAATTTATCACCTGTGCTTTTTAATTAGAATTCATCTTGATTGCAGTAATACGTATAACTGACTCGAGACATGAGTTTATAAACTGCCATCTAAATTCGAAATTAATGTACATCATTTATGAATAAAGTTTTTCTTAATCTCACATTCACCCTCAAAATCAAACATTTGACTAGAAAAATTGTTAAGATTGTAAAAAAATTTCACTAGACACTATTTGTTTTAAGTGTTTGCTTTGGTTGTTTTCACCATTTGATTCTATTAGTTCCATCTAGAGGTCTCTGCATCAGCATCGAAAAGTGAACTGATTATTAAGTTAAACTGTTTTAAATCGTTAAACCATCATAGGAATTTGCAAATGATTTCTGAAACCTGCTAACTTTGTTCCTGAGCTGATTCGAACAAGACAACTTGTATCCCTAATGTATGGAAATGTATGTGTTTACATTCTTTAAGTTCCAGATTGAGCCTGACTTCAAACGTCTTACCTTTGATTCATAATTCATGTTCATGAATATTTTTATTCTTTACTTTCTTAGTGAATTCACTTAGCATGTTAAGTATTTTGAAAAAGTGCAAAATCATAGAGTTATTAAGTTGTTTTGAAAATCATCTGCACCTTTCATGTTTAAAAGAATATCATAATATATTCTTTAGAACTGCACATCCATCTCAGCAGTTTTCCGAGACTTAACTTGTACATATACATATATAGACGATCTCACCGACAATACAATGGTGAGCAGCATGAGATTAAAACTAAAAATGTCATTTAAAGGAACATTTACTAAAATGTTTCATAGAAATAAATGTAACTAGGTAGGTGGACTAAAAGATTTAATGATACCAATATACTAAACAACAACAGAGCTAAACCCTATTATTCTCAACCTCAAGTCTCCATGGAAAATTGGTATTGTTGTCAGAAATAGTTATCTTCGTCTTCATATTTCATTATCGAAATTTATCGAAAGGACTAATTGCTAGAAATAGTTTTTAAATTCTTTCCACTTCCATTATTATTATTATTATTATCATTATCATTATTATTATTATCATTATTATTATTATTATCAGCTTTATTCAATATTATATTTTTGGTACAATATAGAATTCTCAGCGCAAAGTATTTCAACAAGTTTCCGTTTCTTTCTTCTTGGTCGGTCCTGGCGATAAATATTGAGTGATCGCCTGTTAGATGTTAGCAGTTCAGTAAATGAACATTCTTTTCGTTGTATATTGCCAGCAACCACATTGTCTCTTATTGAGTTTTTTGTAACTTTGACAACGAAAGGTTGTACACTTTTCAGAAACGCAGCAGAATAGATTATGCGAATAATAGACATAATGATATATTAAAACAAACAAAAATAGATAACTTGTTTAAATATCTAGATGGCAGGAACAGGTAACCCAGATGCTCTTTATATCTGTTCTTGCAAGACTATGTTTTACTAAACAGAGAATCAGAATTCATGTTTTTAATTCATCGAATGCTTTTGGAAATTAATGATTGAGGAAAATAATGATTAATTCTCATTTAGAGTTAAAATATTAATCAGTGACTGGATTCAGTATTACCCGTAATAATTTCAACCGTTTTTTAGACTGCTGAAATCATTTCCTTCCTCAATAGAACAACTTACAGATATATCAGAAGCTGATCATAAGACTTTACTTTGTGGTATAAATATGGGGCAACTGAAGAAAACTCATACAGAAATTTCACTAACTCGAGAAGTTCTAAAACTTGGAAAAATATCTGCCGTAAGTCTGACAAACATAATTTAAACATTTGTTTGTTTACAACTTTTTAATTGAACTTCCAAGCTAATGTCACATTACACGTTTTAAGATAGTATTTTTCATTGAGCAATAAATATTTTCTTATCTGGAATGATAATTTTTTGTATTGAACAATCAATTAAACGCATACACAAGCAATACAGTATGATTGAGCAAACGGCAAAAAATATTAGTTTGTTGATGGATATATTTCTAAAGTTAAAACTTTATTTATTTAATTATGGAGAAATTTATGAATCCTAAGAAATGATTAAAATCTGATCTGTGTTTATATCCGGATTAACCATAGTGAGTGCAGTAGTTGGGAGTATTGACTATATCATTTACCTGGTGAGTTCCTAGTAAGTTAATGTCTGACGAAATCTCGGCTCGACAACAAGCTCACTTAGCTTCTGTCGACTTGTATGAATTCTGATCCAGATGAGATTATTCTATCTATTGAAGAGGATATACTAAGAATCAGTTTGTTTTGTGTATATTTATGGTTATGGAATATACCTTTGAAAAGTAGAGGATATAAAGAAGTCGTAGGTATTTGATGATAAGTATGTGTGCAGAATTGCTTGCGTATAGTATAGAGATAGTAAAAGGGTTGTAAACATTGGCGTGAGTTGTGACAGGTTGGATACGTGTCAAGCTTTAGTGTGTAACTGATTGACTACTATATTGAAGTTGCAACTGACTCAAATCAGTAATTTCATTATAATACCTTACAGTTGTTTTATACATTTCATTAATATATGGGTATATATGTAAAATTTATTGATATTCATTTACTTTATTGAGACGTGCATCGCGCCATATATACTATTTAACAACCGAAAGGTTTCAAATAGTTTCGTTCATAAAGTATTACAAGTATGTGCAAAACATGGGAAATTTCTTCGTAAAAGCAAATATTCAACAATTATATTTAAATAAGTAGCGTTTACCGTGCACTATATGACCACCTGGAGCGATCAGTATAATAGTTCTAGTAAAACATCGAACACATTTTTCATGTGAACTTGAGTTGGTGCAGCTCGGACACGTCAAAGAAACCTCGTAAAAAGTACCACCCATTGTAAGCAACATTTAGATTCCTTGTGAATGATGCAAAAACAATATCGAATGTGTATGAGTATGAAGATGTAAAACTCCACCCGTTACTCTTCTACAGTTACTACAGCAAACGCATCCAGTAGAAAACAACTTTACTAAAAAGCGCCAATCAGAATAAACCATTTAAACCCTACCCTGGGAGTTGAAGGATCTTCATGCAAGGGAATTATGACACCTCATGGTGAAAGTCAAAATTTTTTGGATGTCACGAAGTCGGTGCCCCTACTAACAACCAGAGAAACAGATTTTATAGGTACGTGGGACGTCCGGACAATATGGGAGACCAGGAGGACCAGTCAAAGTGCGACGAGATTGAGGTGATACAACTTGGCAGTACTCGGAATCAGTGAAACCCATTGGACCCAAGCTGGATAGAAAAGAATAGATTAAAATGAGATGCTACTGTACTCTAGTCGTGAAAATGAAAATCCTTCGCACACACATGGAGTCGAACTCATGTTATCCAAAGAAGCACGAAAAGCACTTGTAGGATGGAAATCTCATGGATCTAGGATCATCAAACCATCGTCCAAAACAAGGAAAGAATGAATCATAATGAATGTTGTTCAGTGTTATGCACCCACCGATGACAGCAATGAAGATGGTAAAGACCAGTTTTACGAGAGGCTACACTCGATCATGGCGAAGTGCATAGGGAAGAACCTGACCATTCTGATGGGAAACTTGAACGTGAAAGTAGGAATGAACAACACCGAGTATGAAGATATCATAGGACGACACAGTCTGAAACAAAGGAAAGAGAATAGAGACAGACTTGCAAATCTATGTGCCTTCAACAAAATGATTATATGTTGCACAATATTCCTCAACAAACGCATACACAAAGCTACATGGGTCTCACCGGACCACACTATAACGAATTAGATCGATCATATTTGCAACAGTAAATTTTTTTTTTTCAGGACCTCAGTCAACTCATTACAGATTAATCCCTTGGTGGCGAATAGATTTACAGAAATTGATAAATTCATTCTTCAGTTTTCCTTCGCTTGTAAAAGTTTGGAGCTGAAATTAACAGATAAGAGTATTTTTAATTTTTTACGGAAAACAAATATCTGTAAATCGAAATTGAAAGTTTGGAAGCACTGGACGACTGTCTTGTTCTAGTATGGGACTCCTTAGAATTCGGCATCCGCCACCCTGTACGAGGGAATTAAACCTAGGACCTCTAGTCTCGCAAAAACACTTGTCCTCTAAACTGTTGACCCGGTATGCAACAACGTTAATGTCTCGATTCAACCATTCCACGACATTGCGAGATTAACATTAACGCCGTTGGCAGACGGCTCAATGGTCTAGAGGTTTTCAATTCCCGAGCTCGGAGTAGTGGATGCTGACTGATGAGGAGTCCTATACTTAGGCCAGACGGCTGTACATTGCTTCCAGACTCTCAGTGGTTTTCTAACCTGGTTCATGATTTCACTGAAACTCAACAATCTTCAAAACCCTATAGGGATATCGACTGACAGTTAGAATTCACAAACACAGAAATTTCCTGCACTGCCGAGATATTTTTTTGAATAAATGATTGTGACAAAGTAAGTTTCAGGAAAAACACTTTTTAATTCATAAATGAAACTGAAAAGTTGTGGTTACCATTTGAGGTTGTGTCTTACGTCAGTCACTTCCTTGGAAATATTGCTTATGAGTTTTATTTCAGCTTATATTAGTATAAACTAGTATTTTTGCATAAATACTCATAAAAACTCCCAATTACCCCCTCTTTTAACTATATTTGATGTACATTCAGTATCACTGGAGAAGGGATATTAGAAAGATGAGCGAAGTTTTTAATAGCGTTTGATTATTATTATAAGGCCAAAAAGAATCAATAAAATATAAAATGATTGTAATGTAATTTATAACATTTGGAAGGTTTGTCTCAGGAAGTGATATGAAGTGAAATGCTGTGAATTTAGGACTTTTATAACATAAAATAAATCACACTTTTCAGTTAGCTTTCATATAAATTTAACATTTTATTTCTTTAAGGGCTATCGCCGACAATTCCTCAAATATCTGGAGACACAAATATATTTATTCATTCAAGAACTCCTTCAGTATCGAGACCCAAAGCATATGGGAAGGTAAGTTAGCTTCAGTGCACCTTACGAGACAAAGTATGAAAACAATCGGTTCCTCACAAGTTTTTCACTAAAACGTTTTTTTTCAGGCTATAGCTATTCAGTGAATATTAAAAGATCTCAACACGTATAGGCAATATTTCCTACCCAATTCTTCAATACGGCATGTGATTCACAAAACGTTTTTAAAGAAACGTTCTAAATAAGCTTTTAAATCTTGAGGCGATCAGACATAGGCTAATTGATAAATGCATGAATCTACAGAGAAATTGGGTATCAGTATCAAAATCGAACAACTCAGATTGCCTGCATCACATAAATCTTGAAACTCGAATTGACAGTAAATAAATTCCCCTGACAGAAAAAAATTGGATGTATAAGATAGATACAGATGAATTCAATTCACTTTCACATTCACGATAAACTCCTTCATCTTTCATTCGCTTAAAAATCTCAGTCATGAAAAAGGTGATCACTAAATATTTTGTTGGTAACTTTCCAAGGTAAAAAAATGTTTCAATTACATATTCAGAAAACGTTTTTATTATTTCAACTCAATTCAAAATAAAACAAACCTTGTAAATTAGAAGAATCAAACAGAATGTAAAGGACAAGTAATGGAATATTTGCAAATGAAGCATATAACGTACGGTTCTCATATTTTATGAAGATATTCTGTAATTTTGCATTTTATGGTAAATCGGTTGTCTCCACCTGAGTTCTCGATCACCACATTTGGTGTGACTGCCAATCAGGATGTAAAGAGGGTGCAGTTCTGAGGACGTCGCTGTTCAGCCTGGAGAGGAGGCTTTGGTTGGGACGGCCTGGTACGGAGAGAGGCTTCGAGAGGAGTGTTCTAGAGAAGCGGCGTTAACTGTAGCTGTTGATGTCAACGGAGTGGGGGAGTGGGACGCGCAGCTTCTGGGTGGACATTGAGTGTAGATGATTCATCAGGTTTCTGGATTGCAAGCGCTAGACACACAGGGTGCTGTTTGGACCTTGGATTTAGATGACCAGGCTGGTCGACGTTCCTACGGAGGTCAGTGCGCCGGTGGACTCGACATTTTGATGGAGAGCGTTGCACAGACTACGACAAAGGAGAAAATAGCACGGCCATCAGGGCCAGAGCGGGAGCGACTGTTTAAAGGGGGGACGAGTGTGGTGTATATCACTTATATCTGTTGACATAAGTAGTATACAACACCAATTAGAAGTGGGATGCCTGGCAGAAGAAGCCTGGGAAGATCGAATCGAAGAAAACGGAAACAAAGAGTAATTGTTACGACAATGAAGAAATGATGAAGTTTGAGAAAATTGATAGAAGATATACAAATAAAGTATTCAATGTATAGTTTTCTTATTTTACAAAAAAACTCTGTAATTTCTTATTAAACAATAAATTGATTGCCCACATCTTAGTGTTCGTTTATTAAATATGTATTTCTGTCTATCAAAAACATTGTACATCGCATAATTTACCAATGATTTATTAGTCGTTGTTGCATTGAAATTATTCTACTAAAAGCACTTATCTAAAAGGTGATATTTAAATGAGAAACTTCTCGCCCAATATTCATAAAATGATAATAAGTGATTTTTTATTTATAACTTAACAGACATAACTTGTTTCATTTACAAATGTTTATTGTTACAAATAATTCTAAAATCGAATTTTTTGATAAAGTATATGTTTAACTTTGGTTTTTTATTCAATTTCACAGCAGCCAAGAAAATATTCACGTGAGTTTCTTTGCAATAATTTATCAAATATTGGTTCGTCTTTTACATTAATGTTACATGTAATATAAAATGTGGTTATAGACACATAGTGACATTGATTAACTTATTGAGCATAGTCTATTGCTATTGTAGGATATCATCCAGTATATCAATGCATACAGTATGTGTTGTCTTCACTTTTAATTTATTTGGAACTCTTCGAATTATCTGTAATTTATTATATACAGAAAGATGAGGGAAAGTATTTGTGCGTGTAAACTCGCTAAGTCTCATATTATGAACTTAGACAAAGCTCTTTACGTAGGATTTAACGATAGGGTGCTTGTTACATACGTATAAGAAGCGCTAAATATCAAAGAAATCTGGTCATGGTTTAAGAGGAAAGTATGAGATTATTGTTGTTTCCGTTCACATTCATATTATTCATTATATGTGAAAGTGATTTATTATTCCTATTACAATTCAATAACCTACAAAGTTCCAGTGGTTTAGATATCATTGTATTATTCAAACAAGACATTTTATATGCGGAACACTTTTATTACATATCCAATATACATTTATAATTCCTAACCAAATATTTATTTGTATTTGTTAAAACAAGACTTGATTTTGTAAAACTGACTTAAGGATTGAGACCAAACCTTTGATAAGCTCATTAAATCCGAAACGAAAACAAAGAATTTTTCTGTAATACGGTCCTAATATCAAACAATTATCGAGCAATCTACTTTACAAATCTCAGTTCGTGAGACAGTTAAAGAGTTTACTTGTGTCACAATACGATCTAAAAAGAGGTGCTTCTTCCAATAGCTATATAAGAGTAACTTATAAAAAACGTATGGTAAACTAAGTATCAAACTGTACGGCAGGTCCAAACGAAAACTAACCATACTAAATATAGAAATCGCTGTTAACAAATAAATAGCTAGTGGGTATATGGAACGCAGGAAAACTATTCAGAATGTTGGGCGAATAAATTCGTAGTTATATGCACGATAGAGCCTAAAGGTTTGTCACTAACTATGCTAGCATCATTAAACATCTTAAGCGATATAGCTAACTTTATTCTCAAATTTCGGTAAAAATGAAAAGGAGAACAAAACCAACTCATATTAAGATCAAATCACAATATAAATTGTTGAGACTTTTTTAAAAGCAATCACTGCCACACTAATTTGTTATTATTAAAACTTTTACTCTTAAAAAACCACCAAACTATCAGTTTAGTAACGAGAAGTATGTCAGTCAGTAAGAACATAGAATTTCGTAGGTACACAAATCAGTTCGAGTCGCCATACCACATTAGCACAGAGATGCACTTGTCGATTCAAATCCCGTAGTGGTACAGGTAATAAAGGTATAAGTAGTAATCGGAAATATTACGGTTTGAAGATGTTATTCAAGGAGTATAATCCAATGAAATAAATTTGGAAAGAGGAAAAGAAAAGGGACACAAAGAATACAGAATATTAGAATTTAGGAGAACATAGAGAGTGGATGCACCTGAGCCATTGCAAACGATTTTGAGCCATGTCATTCAGGGTCTCTAACCATCGTCTCTCAGATCCCAACCAGGTAGTCTACACCTACGAACCTGGCTCAGTTTACTTGTCAGTGACTTCATAGATTTGTGCCATGTTTTGGTCTGGCCTCCCCTAGCTTTCTTCCAACCTACTCCTACACCACAAAATATCGCTCGTCGGTGCAGTCGGTGGTTGGACATACGTAACACGTATCCCAGCCATCTCAACTGATGAAGTTTCATTACTTCGTCAATTGGTTTGCCATCCTTACCTAGTACCCGTTTCCTAACAACTGCGTTACTTACTCGATGGTCCCAGGATATGCAAGCAATGTGTTCGAAGACACCTACCTATGATCAAATACTAGTAACTTACGAATATCCTCTACTCTTACCGGCCATATTTCACTGCCATAAAGTATGACGGAACGAACGGCTGCACAGTAAACCCGTCCTTTGGTTGATAGACGGATATCTCGCCTACACCATAAATGACGCAGGTTGGCAAAAGCTAGTCGAGCCTTTTGTATCCGTGCTGAGATTTCGTCACACACCAGACCACAAGGGCTGATGAGACTTCCAAGATAAGTGAAGCGGTCAACACGTTCAACTACTTCACTCCCTATCATTAGTTCGGATGTCGATGCTACCCAGTCCTGAAGTAATATTTTACATTTCGAAGGGGAGATTCGCATCCCGAACATGCTATCATTGTTGCTTATAGTGGTCAGAAGACTCTGCATTTTGTCAGCATCTTCACCAAATAGAACTGTGTCATCAGCATATTCTAGGTCAAAAAGTGAATCTCCTGGTAGAAGTTCAACCCCTGGAAATTTAGATGAGGAAAGTGTTATCTCCAAAAGCACGTCAACGACAAAGTTAAACAAGAATGGAGAGAGTGGACAGCCATGACGAACACCAATTGATGTAATCAATTCTGATGACAGTTCGCCATAAGCTCTCACTCTACCAGTTGTGTTCGAGTAGAGAGCCTGAATAAGGTTAATGTACTTTGATACTCCTTTCATTGGCAAACACTGCCATAGAACCTCACGACCAACAGAGTCGAATGCCGCCTTAAGGTCGAGAAATACTACCATTGTAGGGCGTCTGAATGTGTGTGTGTTCTAGAAACTGACGTAGTGTGAATATCTGATCTATACAACCACGTCCAGGTCGAAAACCAGCCTGGTTTTCTCTAATCTGCTCTTCACGAACTTTGATTAGGCGTCGAAGTATTATTGAGGCTAATATTTTAGACACTATATTAGTCAAACTGATTCCCATGTGATTGTCACAAGAGGACTTTTGTCCTTTCTTATAGACTGGCACAATCAGTGGTTGAGACCAGTCAGATGGGACTACGTCCAGTTCCCAAATTCTACCTGAGACCTCAGCCAATCTTTCTGTTAATACTGGACCGCCATCCTTAAGAATCTCAGGAGTAAACCTGTCAGGGCCTGCTGCTCCCCCACGATTCAGATTTCCTATTGCTTTTTCAAATTCGTAGAGTCGGAGGAACTACATTAACTTGCCATTCAGGTTGACTGGAGATCGTGGGAAACCGAAGTGTGGTTGAAGGCCAATTGAACTGATCCCTGAAGTGTTCTGCCCATCGATCCAATCTCCTGAATTGAGAATGTTTAATATGTCCATCTTCCTCTGAGATTGTTTCGCTAACATTCGGGTTCCTAATACCGGTTTCCCTAACGAGTCTGAATAATTGTCTGCTATTACCTATTGTCACTGCCTTTTCCATCTCTCTTGCTTTCGCTACCCACCACTGTTCGCGATCATTGCGTAGACTTCTTGTCAGCTTGCGCTTAAGCTGACTCCGCTCTTCGTTATGTTCAAAGTCAGATGGAATGAGTTTTTGAGCAGTGCGGTAGATGCTGCTGAGATCCAGTGTTGCTCCCTAATCTTGTGGTTTACCGTATTAGCAGATATCACTGCTATTTCCACAGCTTTTCGGATATCATTCCATGCTAACTCTCGGGGAACGAGAGTTATGAAGACTTGTTAATAGATATGTTTACACTTCATTGGTATGATTTTTTTCAATGGATACATTTAACTGATGAATATGTAAATATGTTGTTCGTAAAGCAAGTTAAGCAAACGTTATAGGAAATATAAATCAAACTTACTGTTCAAGAATATTGTCAGTGTAAACAATATTTATATGATTTCCGAAGCTGTACGTAGGCTGAAATCACTCGGCAAATGATTACTGAAATTCAAGGGAGTTCGGTTTTGAAGTATCAATCTTGGAAGTGTTTTTTTTATTAAATAAATTCTAGTACTAAAATGATGAATCGTATGAGTTAACTTTTAAATCAGCTAACATTGATGCTCAATCAAAAAGGGATAATAATTTTAAGGAAGAACTGAAGATATCTATTCACACTAGCTGTGTATAGATAATTTGTAATGCTTGTAAATTCGTAAATTTCATCACCATCAAATGATAATCATGGTTTTGAAGTATTTCTCAACAAATACTAGTCGCTGCTTTTCGAAAGATAGAATCCACACGGCATTGCAATGTAACTTTATTGATATCATATTTTTTTCTGATTTTTTGCAATGTGGGAGAAATATTCTGTTTATTCGTTATCAGGGAACATCAATATTATACCCCCATTGATAATCAGTTTTTCAAATTAAAATTTTGGGAAACACTCCACTTCTCTGTTAATAAATCAGTTTACGACCTTAACATGTTGATAAACTTTTTTCCGTAATATTAATTTTATACGTAATTAAACTAGAATAAATCGCCTAACTTATTTGATATAATTGATTGTTGGAATAACATACCGAACCCTCTTTTGTAGGAAAAAACGTCCAATGATACAACTGATGAATATACGTACTCGTTTAAAGAAAGTAATTCGCAAAACGAAACGAAATCGTTGTCACAATATTCAAATATGGAGATGAATTTGAAATTTCGTAACTCACTTGACCAGAAATCTAAGAGAGGCCCTCAAATGTTGGTTAAAAATATGATTTTTATAATGTTTTTTTCATTTGTGAAGCTGTGTATAGGCGCTATGTGTGTAAAATCATTACGTGGTTATTATTTTACACTAAGTTAGTGACAATGAAATAAGTTTAAAAGTCTCATAAAAAAAACTTAGTTAAGCGAAACACGGAACAATAAATTCACTATATGCGCTAGTCATTAGATGTTAGAAAATCCAAAGCCAAAATGAAGGTAGAGGTTACAGTTTTCCAGAATTACATAACATTCTATTCCCTTGTTTATGCACTCTGTTGCCTTAGTCAGTCAGTCATGATCAATGCAGGACCTGGCAAAAATGTCCAAGAGTTCAAGTGATGATACCAAATTAGCACAACGAGACGAATATAAAACATGAATAGTAATGGCGTCGAAATAATGTTGCAGCAATCATGTTGTAGAAGGTTGAACATTGAGAATATGGTCCTAAAGAAACAGAATAGATACCTTGCCGGTCTATCTCCTGAAGTATGCATGTGACTTTTTCTCGTGTGCATTATCAGGCAGGAGAGGAAGTGTAAACGTTGACAATCAAAAATGGTGGATTATATTTCCGGAAACAACCGAGAGTAAACCCTGCTACAGAACTATAGTGATTCGAACATACAAATCGATAGTATAACGTGAATATAGGGGTGGCAGACTGGTGGTACTATCTAGTGCTTGTTTCCTTCAGTATAGCCAGAATATCTAGTTTCGCCTAGCAAAGCGAATAATTATAATGTATCAGGATAAACCTACAACCTTTTCTCTAACATAGAACAGACAATGGGACCGTTTTCCGAAGTGGGGTAGCCTGAAGAAGGTAACGTCTCGTTATGGTGTTTAACGAGATACTACAAAAGGTGTAGGTTGATCTAGACAGCAGAATGATGGCCATGAAAGACATTAAGCAGCCTGTAATAAGTCATTTTCTAACTCAACTAACCCTGACAATTCAGGGACCCCGACATTAATTTATGGGGAGTCTAAATTGTGAGTGAGCAAACTGCATTTAGTCAAGACATGAAGCAGCAGGAAACGCAAGGGCATACGTTGATGGTGGCAGTGATTCTTAGAACCCTGAAGGCAAAGGTGAGTTACACGGCTTCTTCAGTCCTTAGACACCAAATAATATTCGCGCAGTAATAATGTTTCAATTAGCTTTGTGTTTCCGATTACAATAAAAAGTAGTTAAATCTGCTAAGATATCCAATTTTTTTACTTAAACAGGCTTCTCAATATCCCGAATTTGGAAAAACCCAAGTGCATCCAAATCTCATATTGTAATAGTGTAATTAAGAGAGTGATAAGCCATACAAAACACAGATTATCCGATATGCCAAAGCGTTTGACTATTGACCTCAAATTAAATAACCTCATGTTGTTATTATTCTGTTGTATTTTCTGTTATTTTACGTTACCTGTGATTATGCATGAAATTAGTCGATTTTCTGATAGTTCTATGTATGACAGCTCGACTTTAAAATTTTATTCATACATCAGGCATGCAGTGAAAAACGCAACTGAAACATATTCAGTCTTGTGTTCCAAACTTTTTGACATCACCTTGAGCCTTCAATATTCAGATGGTTGTCGTCCTATATGAACGGATGAATCTATTCACAACTTCAGTGCCAGTAATTCCAATTTGTTAGTTTAAATGGATAAATAAAATTCTACTGACAACTTTCACTGGATATTGCTCAGAAAAAATGTCATAATTTTGTTGTTATATTTAATTCTTAAAAGCATGTTTTACTAAAATTATTATTTCCCGCACATTTTCTACTCAACCTAATACTTTGATAATTATGTCGTAATGACCATTCAACCACAGAATCCATGTCGATAGATTTTCACAGTAGAGTCAGTATATAGACCTCATAACCTTTTAGTAACACTAGTTTATTGCACACCTTTATCGACAAACTTCATGATTAGTAATATTAAGCGAAGTTTTCGCCTAATAAACTATGGATAAATGTCCATATTTCATGTAAGGGATTTTTAAAAAACCCCACAGTCACTGATATTCCCTTTACAGCGTCAGTAACAAAACGCTTTAAATGAATGGAATCAGTAATTTATCAGAGAACAGAATAATGTTACCGATGGCATTTTAATCATAATACTTTATGGGTATAAATAAGAGTTATGTATCTAATCGTATTTACAAAGCTCCAGATAAGGCTTCGAGAACATTCAAAATAAAATAGTAGTACATATGGATGAATTAAATACTAAAGGATGAACCGATATATATGTCTTTATTTGAATGAGTTATTAAACAAACTTTGAGAATTTAATTAACCAAAGTCATATTTTATTAACTGATATTTATTACACTGTACTTTGGATATTATAAACAGTTTTCTTTGAGACAAAACCATAATAAGTATTTATTCAGAATATATCATATTATTACTTTAGTATAAGAGAAAAAATGAGATCAAAAAATTTACAGAGTCTAAAAAGACAAAATTTCCTTGACCTAATAGCAAATATAAGATTGTTTGTGACGGTTTATATATAGATATTCATCTCTAGAAATTCCTTTCTTAAGTTAAACTAATCCGTCCGGTACTTAGGAAAGATATACAAGAATAGAATTGAAAAATGAAAAGCAGGTCAAATTACACAATTAAAATAAAAAATAATAGATGTTGCGGTAGTAGAGCGACACATTGAAAGACTCTGAAGCAAATTCATTGTAGTCATTAAAAAGGTAATATATACAAACTTTGAATACAGAAAACATCACACATGTAACATATAAGGCTTTCAGAACAAACAACTATTTTCAAAATAGATTACAAATGTAATTTTGAAACACAATAAATGTGAAGTAAGAGAGACACAGATGCATTAAATAAAATATATCTGAAAAAAATACAGATACTGTGTGCTATATAAGGTGTTAAAAAGATTTATGTAAGATTGACCATCAAAAATTACCTAAAAATAATAATAAATGCGTCCAACCTAAATAGTGAAAATAGAACAGATAGTAATCACAGAGAAAATACGTTATTCATTGACAGACTTGGAAAATAAATCAACATGGCAAAATAGAAAGAGATTAAATGAATGTAGAATGTAGAGAAACAAATGGACCAGAAGGACTCTTGGGACATTTCGCCTTGTGAGGAAAATCAGAGACTTCATCGACACCTTTATCTGAAGGATAAAGAAGGAATGAACAGGATTCCAAACACGAGCAATCACTGTCTACACAGCTAGGAAGTGATCTGTTTCGGAAAAGGGTCAAAAACGTAGGTCTATGTCGCTCACGAATTGCTTGGCTTCGATGAAGAACCCTCTTTACATTCATTTTGGAAGTCGAATTACCATTGTAGTATTCGGCTAAAGGCTAAAAGTATTTGTAAGAGACGGGTGAGAAATAGGACATATTCAAAAACGTTAGCACGAATACAAACCTTTTTATTAGTAAAACACCATAGGCAGGACAGGTGAACACTTTAATCTTCCAAACTGACTTCTAATATCATGATATTTCAATCATTTATAAAAGGACCAGATAATAGACTGCAATCTGAACACATTCTATGACGATGTTTACAAGCGGATTGGTTCTGCCTTTCACGCATGGGTAATTGATTTAAAGTCAGTCAGCCACAACGTAGGACCAGGCACATAAACGCATCGATCCAAGTTGCCACATCTCATTAGCGTAACAAGATCAACACTGGATCCATAGAGGTAGTTAATTCAGTGGTGGTAATATATAAAAAAAGATAGTGTATAAGGATATAATACAAAGATAAAGAATTAGTTCGTAGAAAGAAAGATATGAAGCGATCTTAATCGCATAGTTTAAGCGATGGCAGAGAGAGTATACACCTAAGTCATTGTGATCGATTCTGAGTCATGTTACCCAGTCTACGAACACCGGTTACGATTGCTGCGCCGACCCTAACCAAGTAGTCTTAATCTACCAACATGGCTCAGACCAGAAGTTAGTGACTTTACAGACTGATGCCACGTTTTCGTTTGGCCACACCTAACTTTCTTCCAATCATCTCCAACACTAGTCAGTACTGCACGTCGTGGTAATTGGTGTTCAGTTATACGTAAAAAAGTCCCAACCATCTCAGTCGATGATATTTACAGCCTCATCAGCCGATTTACCATCATTCCCTAATACTCTGCGTCTAACCTCACTATTACTTACCCGGTGCATCTCAGAAGATGCGAGCAATATTTCTAAGACATCTGCAATTAAACACTAGCAACCTACGAGTATCTTTTACTCTTAATGACCACGTTTCGAAACCGTAATATAGGACAGAATGAACTGCTGCACAGTATACTCATGCCTTAATTGATTGACGGATATCTCGCGTTCGACATAGGTGACGTAAATTGGCAAAAGACAAACGTGCTGAGATTTCGTCAGACACCAACACAGTAGGGCTGATAAGACTTACAAGATAAGTGAAGTTGTCAACGCGTTCGACTACTTCACTCCCTATCCTTAGTTCCGATGTTGACGCAGACCAGTCCTGAAGCAACAACATGCATTTAGAGGAAGAGAAACGCAACCCAAACATTCTGGCATTGTTGCTCAGTGCTACCAAAAGACTCTGCATTCTATCAGTGTCTTCACAAAACAGGACTATGTCATCTGTGTATTCTAAGTCGATAAGTGAACCTCCTGGTAGGAGATTGATGCCCGAGAATTCAGTCGATGAGTAGGTCTATGATGAATTTTAACAAAAATGGAGATTGTGGACAGTTTTGACAGACATCACTTGAGGTTGCAAAAGCAGATGACAGTTCACCATAAACTCTGACTCGACTGGTAGTCAATGAAGACCACCATTGTCGGACCCCGATAAGTATACCTGTGTTCTAGAATATGACCAATAGTGAATATGTGGTCAATGCAGTCAATACCAGGTCTGACGTCTGACTGATTTTCTCATGTTTGCAGTTCACGAGTCTTAGTTAGGCTAGTATTTTAGATGCTATAGTAGTCAAACTAATCCCTCTATGGTTAGCACAGGATGAGTTTGACCCCTTCTTATTTATTGAGACGATCAGTGATTGCGACCAGTCAGATGGAATTATGTCCAAATCCCAGATTCTAGCTAAAATATTAGTCAACCTAATCGCTAAAATTGAACCACCATCCTTAAAGACCTCTGGAGCCAATCCATCTGGACCAGCTACCTTTCCTCGTTTCAGATTAGCAATAGCCTTTGAAACTTCAGCTAGATACGAGGGACCTATTTGAATGATCCATTCACGCTGTCTAAGAATGATGGGTATTTGTAGAGTGGATGAACAGTTTCATAAATGTCCCGCCCATCATTCTAAACGTCTGGACTCGTAGGAGATAAGAGTGCAATGATGGTGAACAGCGGGCGGCCATACCAAAACATGGCACAAGTCCATGAAGTCACTGACAAGTGGTCTGAGTCATGTTGATAGGTATAGACTACCTGGTTGGGGACCGCGAGATGATAGCAACCGATGGTTAGAGACTCTGAATGACATGGCTCAAAATCGTTTGCAATGGCGCAGGTGCATCCACTCTTCGTGTTCTCCCAAATTCTAATCTTCTGAATTCTTCATGTCCCTTTTTTCCTCTTTCCAAATTTATTTCACTGAATTATACTCTTTAAATAACATCTCCAAACCCTAATCTTCCCGATCACTGCTTACACTCTTGCTACCTCTACCACTACGGGATTTGAATCGACAACTGCATCTCTGTGTTAAGGTGGTGTGGCAACTCGAACTGATGTACGTACGTACGAAGTTCTACGTTGTTACTGACTGACTGACTGATGGTGAACAGCGGTGGGTAGCGAAAGCAGGAGAGATATAGAGGACAGTGGCAATAGGACAACTGTTCAGACTTGTTGAGGAAACCGGTATTAGGAACCCGAATGTTAGCGAAACAATCTCAGAGAAAGATGGACATATTATACCCTGAATGAAATGGCTCAAAATCGTTTGCAATGGCGCAGGTGCATCCACTCTTTATGTTCTCCCAAATTCTAATCTTCTGTATTCCTTGTGTCCCTTTTCTTTTCCTCTTTCCAAATTTATTTCATTGGATTATACTCCTTGAATAACATCTTCAAACCCTAATATTTCCGATTACTGTTTATACCCTTATTACCTCTACCACTACGGGATTTGAATCGACAAGTGCATCTCTGTGCTAATGTGGTATGGCGACTCGAACTGATTTGCGTACGTACAAAATTCTACGTTCTTAATGACTGACTCACACTTGACTAATTAATTTTAGTTTCTTTTATTAGTCTTAAGAATTGTCTTGTGTTACCTATAGCCGCCTTCTTTGCCAGCTCTTTTGCTTTCGTTGTCCACCGCTGCTCACGTTCGTTCCTTAGACTTCTGTTTAGCTTATATCTCACTTGTTTTCGCCCTTCATCGTGTTCAGAGCCTCATGGAATGAGTTTACGAGAATCCATCAGTGCGATAGACTTAGTAGAAACCCATTGGTTTCTCGTAACCCTGTGGTTCAAATCACTAACATATGTTACTGCTGTCTTCACAGCTGTTCGTATACCCTTCCAAGCAACATCTCGGTCATCCTTCTTTTCAGAACAACCTAACTGTGACCTCAGTTGTTCCTGGAATCTACTTTTGGTTTCCTCGTCGCTGAGTTCGACTCTAATAGTTCTTCTTAATGTGTTTTTCCTGCGTCCAGTGAAGCGCAAGCACATAGTCGAAGTTCAAACAGGTATTCCAGAATGAGCGGCAATCTTCTGTAGACCATCTCCAACGATGACTGATGGCAATATGGTCTGTTTGAGTACGTTGTTATTTTGGTGCAGGGGATCGCCATGTTAGACGATGTCTCCTCTTATGCTTTTAAGCATAATTGATTTAAAAAATAATAAAGAGAGAAAAAATTATTATTCGAAAGGTCAAAACAAACAAATAATCTTCCATCAGGTGTAAACATTAACTAAAACAACCTGTTAATCATTAATAAAAATTGTGGCTACATGACAATATCGAGGCAATTTATTCAGGATGCACACGTGTTGGTAGAGATCAATTAACTGCAGTCCTGAATAGCAAACATGAAAAATCACAAACTCTTACTAATATGTAATAAATGTCTTAAACAGTATAGATATATTAATGATCGGATCTAATTTATTTGTTTTCTTAACACTGAGTAAATTATGAAACAGGCTTGGAGATAAGTAATTAGACATCTAACGCAAATGAACCTAATCCATTCGTCATATCGCGTTATTGTTTCACAACATTTAACGAATTCATTGATTTATCAGGGTACCGGATCAAAAACGAAAGAATAGGAACAACCAGAAAGGATATAAATGTTAGGGTGTTTGACGAATATTGCAAAACGTTAATGTTGGGATTAACTAATACGACGTGTTAACTTCAATCAGTTTATAAGCGAAATGAAATTGATATAAACGATCAGAATAAATATAGTCAACATGAGGTGAGTGAGAAAATAATGGAATAAAAATCAGAAATTACGTAATAATTAGAATATGTATGTGCGGGATCGTGGAAGCGCACTGCTGAGGAGTTCCATACTAGGACGAAACGGTCGTCCAGTGCTTCCAGGTTTTCCATGGTGGTCTAGCTTCAACTGACTCATGATTTCAATCTGTGAAAATTTCTAAAATCTCCACAAACCCCTTCTGATATGTATAATAATCAAATTACGTAACCATATCATTTAGCTTGTAAACTGATTCAAGTTAACACTTCATATTAGTCAATCGCAACATTAACGATTTTATTTGATTTTATATAACAAACGATTCTTGATTCACATATTACAATTTTAAAAGAATATTACAAAAGTAAACACCAATAGTCAACAACATCAGCATGTATAAAGTAACACCATATTCCTTATAGATAAGTAAGAAAAGTAGATGACCTAAAACACGATACAATGATTTCATACTCAAATAGAAAAAAAGGATCACAAAATAAAACCCTAGAAACAAAATATCGTAGGACATTAATCTAAAATTGCACTTCGGTAAATATGAGTTATCCTAAAAACCTTATCCAAAAAATCTAAACAATTAAGTAATGGAAGCAAGAAGGACATATATTTGAATAAATAAAGCAAGTGTACTAAAAACTAACCTCTCTTTTTCCCTCATTATCTGAATATGGTTGAATTATGTTACTTAGTTCCTCAGACTCAACTGGCACAAGAGTTACACGATCATCATCTTCTCGACAGGTATCAATATTTACATTAAGATTGTGGGAGTAGTCATTATTTTCTGGGGGCTTATCTGAATCATTTAAATGTATTTTTGAAGGTAAATAAAAGTTTTGAGGTTGTTGAGAGTGTTTTGGTGGTGAAGAAGAGGAATGTAAAATAAAATTGGGATAATCTAATTCATTTGCATCATCATAACTTTCAAACTCTGATCCAGATTCAGATTTTGAGTCCTTCTCAATGAGCAATGCATGAATATTTGAATAAACACCAGAATTAGAAAAAGATTGATTATCGCTGGAACGTTGGAGAGAATTAGAATGAGATGTCTGATTTGAATAGGGGGAATAACAAAATTCAGGATCTTCAGATGGTTCATAAATGGTCCGATTAAGAAAGCCGTCTTGTGTTGCCTGCAATGTAAGTTTATGTAAATGAACAAAGATAACTACTGAAAAAAACGTTGACTATTATATCGGGTCATTTCTTTACACGTTTTTACAGACAACAGCCAAATGAATATTCCAAACTAGAAAGCATCATACTAACAAACTTTGCTGGATCTCCATTGTTACTAAAAATATCACGAGTTTGGGTATCACTAATTCTGTACAACTACTTATTGATGATGAGAAAAAACAACAATAACTGGGACTGATTCTGTAGAGGAATTTACTTGTAGATTGGTGCGTCAACTTCTTAGTTTATCTTATGCCTAATTTAGAAAGTATCTTCCACACAAATGAGAACCGAAATATGTTGAAACGGATGAATCCTAACGCGATTGATTTCAAATGCTAAAATGAGAACATTTAAATACTCAACCAAACTGACACGATATGCTCACACAAAGAAAAACCAAAATGAATAGAACCCAAAAAAGGAACCGTTCATTTTACAAGAAATTATCTATTAGTCCAAATTTCTCAAAAGAAATAAGGAATTATTTCATAAACATTATATGTTACCACTATTTGACAGTGTTTGATTTTATAATCATAAAAATGACTTGAAAATCCAGAGCCAAATGTTGTATAAACGATAAATAGTCTACAAAAAAGCTCACCTTTAAGTACGCATCACGTGACATACCAACAGGATTCATTGATACGAGAGAATGAGAAAACTGATTAGTAGAATTTCTTTCGATTGAATGACCAGAAGACTCAGATACTGAATGATTATCTACTGACCTTAAACAATCCGAAATCATACTCGACTGACAATCAATTGACAATTTTCGGCACGATAAAAACGAACAGAATGAAGAGCATATATCTTTATGTAACTCTTTACTATGCTCAAATGACCACCTTTGTGCTAAATGTGAAGATGGTATGTATGGTAATGTTGTCTTAATAGTGGCTACATCTATATCATTATTTCGTGTGTTATTTTGACAATAGTCAATGCAAACAGAAAGATGAGGACAGTAAAATGCATTATTTAAGTTACCTGTGGATTCATTTTTCTCAATTATTTCCATTTGATTATTATTACATAAACTACAATGAGTATATTGCTGGGAATTATTGTTACTATTATCACTGCGCTTGTTGTGCTTACACTGTTGTTGCCCACCTATTTTTTGATTGATATCTTTCAAAAAATTATCATGTTGAAAAGTGAAATAGTTTTCTCTCTTATCACTTGAAATCATTTCATTTGATGGGATGATTGGAAAATTGGAATGATTTATTTCCTTCATATTCGGAGATGGATTAGGTCGTCTGCCACTTCCTGCCAGCATACCGAGAAATGGTGAATGTGGGTCCTATACACAAACATGGAAAAGTTACACAAATATAGCGCTAAAACCTATGGTTTTAACAGATGAAAATAGTTGCTTATTTAGACGTTCAATAATACAGAACAATATACACTGAGATTTATTACGCAGATACATAATACTGGAGAAGAGTATATTGGATGTCCAAACGATCAGCAATACTAAAAACAAAAATTGTTCAAAATAGGATACCAAAAGCGCACACTTTAAAATGAATGCAACGCTTAGTCCAGGATATCAGACATTGTGATTGGATGTTACATCATCGCTATCAGCTAATAAAACTATGTCCTCTAATTGAGTTACGCTCTGCAAAATATCTACAAGTACGCGATCCCTTATTTTAAAACTTAGAAAAAATATGGCTCAAAATTAAGTTGAAATTATGTTTGATTCAGACGAGAACTTTTGATATGACCGGATGAAAACGACAAAATTACATTCTTTCACTCATTGTGACTTTTGGTCAACATCGTTGCCGTTTTTCATTCAATATAATAATTACTCAGTGAAATAATTGTTTTATTTCCCAGTGTGATATTTTATTTTACATAATATTAGTTATTTGAGAGTGATGTTTATTGAAGATACGATATTCTTGTATTAAGTTAACGTGAACTATGCCCAGCATAATACGCAGCATGTGATTCGTTATAACTCTAGGTATTTTTCATATATGCATCCCAGTGTTGTTGTTCACTTACGGACTTCAACCCAATACTTTTTTTACTTTAAATGACTGACGCGTTATCGCCATAGCTATTGACTCATGATAGATAATACCTTGTACAATAGGGATGAGTTAAAATTCTATTTTAAAAGCTTGGATCTTCATGTTGTTGGTGTTAAGGACTGTAATTGGCCAAACTCTTTTGGTAAACATGCATCCTGAGCGGATTGTCTCGATATTGCCATTAAACCACAAGTAATCCGAGTCTGCTTAAAAATGATTGTGACTGATAACAATAACCAGGCAATCCATTCACGATGTATATATCATGAAATAGATTAACTGATTGTAGTTCTTAATCGAATGATTTATATGGCGCATATTTATTTGGTGCCTCCTTGTACCAATGTTTGTGTTTAAATAAAATAATAAAATAAACTTAAGATCAACACCGAGAAGATTTGAACTTTTACAACTTAATCTTAAGTGCAAACAGTTCCAAAATTTACCATACAGTCTCAAAAACTTAAAAGGTAAAAGCTGATAGATAAAAAATAGGAGTATATTATTGGATTCTTACCCCGAATTCAACTTGATGATCTGGAAATTTTTCACATGGATGGATAAAGTCAAGGCCCATATTTACACAAACAGGACATTTTAAAGAAGTATTATATTTATAATTGCGACGACGATCAGCGCTCTGTATACGTCGTGTGTTTTGAATTGAAAATTTATACTTGCGCTTTTCAATAGGACAGACTGAATTACCCGAGAAAACATGCTGAAAATCAGATTCGCTGTGTCCGAATAATAGTGATGAGTTAGCAGCATTTTTCACTGAATTCTTCTGTCTACTATAACCCTGACTCGATTGTGAGGTATAATATGAAACAGGACAAATATTTCCAAAATTATGGAACGAACGTGGTGTAGAATAGAGAGGAATTAACGAATTCGCTTTTCCATCATCAATATCAGGTTCAACACCCCAAAAACAAAAGGAAGCTAGAAGACGAAATGCTGACAACAACACATTTTCAACAGTTGAATTTCCAGTGGGGTTCAAGAAATAAGAGCTTTCAGTAATATCTGAGCTAAAACAAGCAGTAGGGGGTGTTGTAGTAGATAGAGATCTTCCGTAATAATGTTGAGTACAACTAGATGTTAGCAACGGCATAGAAGGGTCACAGATAATACAAAGTAATTCGTTAAGTTTCCCATCGAGTAAACTTTCATCAGGATTATTCTTGAGCTGATCGTTGATTTTAGGATACCGAGTAAAAAAGGTAACCGGTCTACAATAGATATTATCAATAAAATAAATAGGAGTGAACAGTAAAACAATGGAATTAATATATATATATATATATATATATATATATATATATATATATATATATATATATATATATATATATATATATATATATACCATTGAGCGATCATTACAGTAAATTTATCACAAGTAGAAATAAAAAATTTACTATCAACAAATATACTTGTTACAAAGAGTAGTAAAATCTTGCTACAAATTGGTCACTTCCAAACATTTCTGCATAACAATGAAACGAGCGCTGATAACGTTGTCTAACACAATGAAACCACCGTAATCAAAATATCTAATAAAATTAAACAGTACCAAAATATCGGTCAATCTACCAAGCGAAATCATTATTTTTAAAAAAGACGTCCCGAAAGAAGATATGATTGTGTTCTTCGATTTGTTTTATTCCTAAAATATATGTATCAGTTATCACAAATCCTGGTATACTTAACTGGTTGATATAAATATCAACGAGAAATTACTGAGATATCGGCTGAATAATAATAGTGATTCAATGACTTAATTTTTATTATTTGAGTGGTTCGTGAAAAGTAGTTTGATTTGAGGATAGGTTCCGACACGAACCGAAACCGAATAAGAATTTAATGGTCTGCATTTCCAATATTAGAATCGTTAGTTATAATTCCTAGTGAGGTTACAAGAGCGCATTGATCAGGAATCCCAGACTAGGTTGAAACTAATGTCCAGTGTTATGGTTGTCAATGAGTTTTCATTTGATGACGGTCGGTGACGGAAAATATCTCTAAATATCTTAGACATAACTCAGCAGTCACGTCCAATTACATGTATTAAAGCAATTAGTCCCTTTGATAAATTTTGATAATGTGATAAGAAGATGAAGATTATAAGAACTATGTGATACATTTGGAACAATCTGATCACACATATACTTGTTAAGAGCATTTATATATAAAAATAAAAGGTCAACTAAAGTAGAAATGGAGTAAGAGGAAACAAGGATAATAATAAAAGTAATAATAATAATGTGAACACAATTTGAAACCTAATCACTCTGGATAATAAGTCAATATTACCAGGGTAGGTTTAAGGTGACAACAAACTGTTTTTGAATATACAAAGGGGGTTTGAATTTTCGTATGGCTAAGGCTTCAATAAACCTTAGTATACGCCCTTTTACACTTTTATACAACACCACAAAAGCCGAGTTAAGATCAATTTTATGGGTTGTTACGATATGTATATCCTCCGCTCTTATTGGGTCACTTGATAGTATTTGTTTCTGCAACCATTTTGGTACATGTTCACACACCCTAATTTTGAGATCACGATTGCGCCTCCCTGTGTATGTGTGACCATACACACATTTAAACTGGTTAACACAGTGGGATGTGACACAACCGTTTTCATGTCTTTTAGGTTTTGGATGAAGCATGAACCTTGTTCTTTCTTTGATAATGACCTATGCTGCGCAATACGTTTGTTGATGGCTGATTTAAGCCTTTGTTTCAGTAAAAGGCTATTTGAATCACCTCTGAATGGTAAGGTGATGTAGATAGGCTTTTTTCTACCAAGGTTACAGTCTCACTGTACCATGGACTTTCCACCTATTTATGAATTTCAGAGGATAGACATTTTCCATTAATGTTTTATCTAGCAACTTAACATCATCATCAATGGCATCATTTGTACAAATACGAATAGGAACCTTATCAAACCACGTTTGTATTGCATAGGGCAATAACTATAATAACTAAAGTATTGACCTGTCCAAGTTGGTTTTCTAAAAATGGATAGTTTGATTGAGCCATCTTCTCTTCACGTGAAATAAGTTGGTCAACGAAAAACGTTGGTGTGAATATAAATGAAAATCTTATTGTGGATGACGAATAAATTTTAAAATGACCTACTATGATGTCCAGTTAGTCAAACGTGACATAGAAATTGGTGCGTGTATACATTAATTCAATTTACCATAGCCCAGCAGAACAAAGAGATAAAATTATTAGGGCATATCTCAGAGTTGTAGAGGTTGTAGCAGCGTTACCGTCCCCAGCGGTAAGGCCCTTTGAAGAACGGAGGTAACACATCAAAAACCTCACAGGAAAAGGCCATGCGCGACTGGCCTCAAGCAGTTGTCCCTTGGGCTCTGTGGTCACGCTCTTAGGTCGCTAAGACCAACATTAACCCGATCTCCTTTTCAGGTCTACGAAAAATACTTTAGATCCGTTGGCCGGACACTATTAGCAACAACGTACTGTGGGAGAGAACAAACCAGATCCCAGCGGAGGAAGAAATCAGGAAGAAGCGCTGGAAGTGGATAGGACACACATTGAGGAAAGCACCAACTGCGTCACAAGACAAGCCCTCACATGGAATCCTCAAGGCCAAAGGAAAAGAGGAAGACTAAAGAACACATTACGCCGGGAAATGGAGATAGACATGAGAAGAATGAACAAAAATTGGATGGAATTAGAAAAGGAGGCCCAGGGCAGAATGGGTTGGAGAATGCTGGTCGGCGGCCTATGCTCCATTGGGAGTAACAGGCGTAAGTAAGTAAGTAGGAAATACCCTTCCACGGTGTGGGCAACCAGGAAGTGATGTCAGCCCACACACTCGTATCAGCACACGAGACCATGTTGGTCACATTCAATCCTTCCTACACATCCTAAAAACTCTTTTATCTCTACGAATAACCCTTCTCACGTCCCTTTATCACATTGCACCGCTAGGGCAAAAGATTCGAGTACACGGAACGTTATTCCTGGTCTCCTGAAACCACGCTCTAGACTACACTTAGGAGCTTTTAACGTCAAAACGTTGTGCGAAACAGGACCTAAAGGCGGCATCTGACTCGGTTGATCGTGAAGTTCTGTGGCAGTGTTTGCCACTGAAAGGAGTATCAAAGAAGTACATTAACCTTATTTAGGCTCTCTACTCGAACACAACTGGTAGAGTGAGAGCTTATGGCGAACTGTCATCTGGATTGATTACATCAAGTGGTGTTCGTCAGGGCTGTCCACTCTCTCCATTCTTGTTTAACTTTGTCGTTGACGTGCTTTTGGAGATAACACTTTCCTCATCTAAATTTCCAGGGGTTGAACTTCTACCAGGAGATTCACTTTTTGACCTAGAATATGCTGATGACACAGTTCTATTTGGTGAAGACGCTGACAAAATGTAGAGTCTTCTGACCACTATAAGCAACAATGATAGCATGTTCGGGATGCGAATCTCCCCATCGAAATGTAAAATATTACTTCAGGACTGGGTAGCATCGACATCCGAACTAATGATAGGGAGTGAAGTAGTTGAACGTGTCGACCGATTCACTTATCTTGGAAGTCTCATCAGCCCTTGTGGTCTGGTGTGTGACGAAATCTCAGCACGGATACAAAAGGCTCGACTAGATTTTGCCAACCTGCGTCATTTATGGTGTAGGCGAGATATTCGTCTATCAACCAAAGGACGGGTTTACTGTGCAGCAGTTCGTTCCGTCCTACTTTATGGCAGTGAAATATGGCCGGTAAGAGTAGAGGATATTCGTAAGTTACTAGTATTTGATCATAGGTAGGTGTCTTCGAACACATTGCTTGCATATTCTGGGACCATCGAGTAAGTAACGCAGTTGTTAGGAAACGGGTACTAGGTAAGGATGGCAAACCAATTGACGAAGTAATGAAACTTCATCAGTTGAGATGGCTGGGACACGTGTTACGTATGTCCAACCACCGACTGCACCGACGAGCGATATTTTGTGGTGTAGGAGTAGGTTGGAAGAAAGCTAGGGGAGGCCAGACCAAAACATGGCACAAATCTATGAAGTCACTGACAAGTAAACTGAGCGATGTTCGTAGGTGTAGACTACCTGGTTGGGGACCGCGAGATGATAGCAACCGATGGTTAGAGACCCTGAATGACATGGCTCAAAATCGTTTGCAATGGCGCTGGTGCATCCACTCTTTGAGTTCTCCCATATTCTAATCTTCTGTATTCTTTGTGTCCCTTTTCTTTTCCTCTTTCCAAATTTATTTCATTGGATTATACTCCTTGAATAACATCTTCAAACCCTAATATTTCCGATTACTGCTTATACCTTTACTACCTCTACTACTACGGGATTTGAATTGAAACGATAGAGTCATTAATAAAAAGTCGTAATTTTACGGAACCACATTCAATAAAACAAATCTTATACCAAGATTACATGATAGTTACTCGAAAAAACGCTTACCCAGAAGCTGAACGACGTCTTTCAAAAGATGGTGGACTATTATTATTACGCATACGATTATCAATTCCTATGATGGGTTTTATAAGTCTACAGTGATGATATCCACTCTGCGAATGTTCACTACGATGTATGTCATTATTCGTATCATAGCAACAGGAGTTAATCGGCGTGAAAAAATTGCTAAACCCAACTGAGTGATTACTTGACTTTTGTAAGAAATCTAAATTGTTTTTACCTAAGATTCAGAAAATATGATACCAGTATGACAATCAAAAATTTGGTAGAAGAATATATTGAAAAATAATTAAAACCTGATATTTTACAAAAATCAACAAAGTTGCAGTAACAACGTAAAGTCAATTAGATTTCGATAACATAGGAAACTATTTGTCATCGTACATACCAGAACAGATCTGTGTGATTGACTTGCAGCAACATTTTAATTGTGAGGACTAGTGATATTATGAAATTGCTCCAGCTGGAGTAAGTGAAGTGGTGCTCGAACAGGCGACTTCGTGACTGAGAAACTGCTCCAAGTGATAAAAATGTTATACAAATAAGCAAGGTCTATGGCATTATTTCTGAGGTACTCAAAATAGTTGTTATCTAAAATAGATCAGTGGTGGCATTATTTAACGTTTTGAAACTCATAAGCATATTTTTTCTCAAATGCACGTGAATCGAAACAACTAATGACTTCTCCAAATTTAGGCAGCTTTTACGCGAAATCAAAACCAGATGTTTTAGTCAATAGATTTAACGCGCTACAACCAGGGGTAAAAAGTATTAAAAGATTCATTACCATTAAATGGAGATGACTACTTTCTGTCACTTGCTAGCATTATTTCAAATTCAAACTGACGATCAAAATTGGACTTGGATTTAACTTTTTGATAAAGTGATGGGCAGCTCGAGATAGAGTGGTGATTGGAGGTAGTCAACAGGAAACCCTGGACCCGGGTTTCGTGCTATTTGGCACTCGTCAGCAAGGTGTACCTATGATCTTGAGGGGACTGGTGCTTCCGTGGCCCGGATAGCCCAGTGATAACGTCTCTGACTGTGAAGCTGGGTGACACGGGATCGAATCCATCAGGGAGCACCAGTTCCCTCAAGATCACAGGTACACCTTGCTGACGAGTGCCAAATAGCACGAATCCCGGGTCCAGGGTTTCCTGTTGACTACCTCCAACCATCATTATAACTCAACATAGTGCACCCAATGTCGAGTCACCTAGGCTAGTGGCCACATTGCAACTTGGTCGATAGCATTTGATCCGCACTAAGAAGGACTTAACACTGATGAAATTGATCACCACCTAGTGATCAATCAATTGAGATGGACATCTCAATGATGAAAGAAGTTTTGTAATTTGATAGAACCAACCAAAGGATCTCAAAAAAACTATCCAATGATGTACGTATCAAGATGAAACAGCGAAGGCATCTAACAACTTTGGTCTATGTAAAATGAAGGCTTAGTGGTTCAAGGACCACTAGCCTGAAGATTCATATCTTACATCTCTCCAACTCGATTTCAACTTCACGGTAGTAACGCTTGACATTCCCACGATTACCTAACCCGAAATCAAATATATACGAACCAGTAGTTCGTCAAGTTCAGCTGAAATTACCGTCTCCTAGTAAAAACTAACGACTAGTCGGAAAGAACATAAATTATGTAAAGGATACGTCTTTAAAGTATTACGCGATAGTAAAAAACTTTTTTTTGAAGAAGAGAAGTTATACGACGAACGTTTTCACCAACAAGCATTGCAAGCGTCAACGGAAAACTAAAGTGGTATGAAAAACCCTATCTCCATGACAGTATTCTTTCAAAAGTGGACTGAAATCATTATATGACTAGTTTATTAGGATAGATATTTTTTATTTATTACTTTAAAAGATGGCTTCGGTCCTGGCGTCCAGTCAGTATTCCAGTCCTCACACAAATCGAATGATTTGTGTAGCGCATATGTAATTGGTACCTCCTTGTACCAATGTTTATGTGTTTGAAAAAATAAATAAAATATAAGACGACATGTGGCAAGAATGAAAATCAGAGCCTTTCCTATCAGTATTCACCGTAAGCGGAAGACTGTCAACGTCAAAAGACATAGGAATTACAATAACATTAGCAAAAGAAACAAGTAGATAATCATCGGAACCATCAATTTATAATAAAGGAAAAAATACATAGTTAAAAGTGTAAATCAGAATTAAAAACAGCACTCAGGTAATAAAAATTAAACATACTTTCAAATTTCCGAATAAAATTTTGTTTCCTAGGCAACCGATTCAAATTTCTTTGTGAGTTTGTTTGGACATCAACAAAACGCTGTTCACGTGATCGGAGATCTGTAATATTATTTCCACTAGAATAAATACGTGGTGACTTCGGATTAGATTTATCTGTCATATTACTATCCGACTTAATGCTCACAAACGTTCTTATTTGAGGACTGTAACAATGACCTGGTGACATATTACGATATTTGTCAGTATTTGAACCCAGTGAAGAGCTTGTGATTTTAGCAGCTGGAATGTAAAACAATGTGATATTCTATTAAACTTCCTTAAAATAAAACCGAGATAGCGAAATAGTATATCAAAACATTCTTTTTCTTAAGAAGTACCCTGAAAAGTTATGTGGTGTTTAACATTGAAATTATAAGTATCATAAAGTGGAAATAATCTAACAGATGCAAAATAAACTTACAAGGAAATAACCGCATCGTTGACTCGCATAATCCTTGACCAGTAAACCAATCTGAGTCCACATGAACCACATGTTTCATATCGGTGGGAGGTGAAATTAAAGGTATTCCACCTTGACTACAACCAACTCGACTGGATGTGTCACGCGAAATCGATTGAGTTTCATCACAAAAAGAATTATTCAAATCTGAAGAATTATTTGTATTTACATTCAAATGTGAACGATTATTAGAAGTATATTGTGAAGAATTAATTGACCGTTTAAGATCCTTTACTTGGAAATTGTTAGTAGACGAAGTAGTTGAATTAACGTAGTCATTATGTGTAGAACATGGATTACCATTAGTTCCCCATCGCTTAAAAATACTACGAACAAACGGACGTTTTCTAGGTGGAGGAGGTTTGGGTTGAGCAGTTTGACTTTTATGAGTAGGATCTTTAAAATGATTAGCAGCCAGTACAGCCAAAAACATAAAATGTTGCTGAATATTCAGTAAAAAAAAACTCGATGACAAGCGATAAAGAATTATTAAAATAATTTTAAATTGAGTTACTGGTTTGGGTAGAAATAACAGATTTCTGATTCATAAACCTAACTAGGTTGTTTAATAAGTTTTGATGACCATGAAGCATTGTATTCTGCGGGTATACATAACATTTTTTGCATAATATAATATTACAGAAGTTTGATGATGCGCCTGAATTTATAAATTTAGAGACCATTCACAAAATATCAAGAATCTAAAATACATGTATCTTGGAGTTATTTGCATTTCACAACTGATTTACATTTTTATGGTAAATGAAATCGTCCACTTTAACACTGCAGTCAGAAACGTTGCCATGACGCCATTAAATGATAAAACTAATAAATAAGACTATATCAAGTACTAAAATTAGTCGTTGGATGTTAATCACTCGTACAATCAAGTCCTTATTACTGAATCGCGCCATCGTCAATCAGTCATCTAAAACGTAGGAACAGGCACATATATGCATCGGTCCAAGTTACCACACCTCATTAGCACAAGATGAACACCAAATTCATAGAAGTAGTCACTTCAATGTCAGTAATGTATAAAGGAAAGATCGTGTATAAAGATATGATACAGGAAGAAAGTATTGGTTCGTATAAAGCAAGGTATAAAGTAATTTTAATCTCACGGTTTAAGGGAAGAAAAAGAGTATGTACACCTACGCCATTATGATTGATTCTGAACCATGTCATCCAGAGTCTCCAAACACTAGTTACGATAGTCGCGCGGACCCCAACCAAGTAGTTTGCATCTACCAACATGGCTTCTTCTACCCCCATACTTAGTTCTATGCCTACACTCGCCAGTCCACGAGAACTTGCCGTCAGGTCGCCAGATAAACGGAGGGTATACCTCGTCTGTCCAACGTTTCGGCTAGGTGAGGACAAGTGGATGACCACACTAGGATTCTGTGCGCATGTTTTGGAGACACAGCATACACCAATGGTACGAGATTCTAGGGTTCTAGCCAAGGGGGCCTGCTGGCCTATTTGACATGGGTTACGTTGAAGGTCCCAATGTGTAGTTTGGGGCGGAGTTCCAGTAGATCTGAAACAGTAGTTCGTGCACTATAATCGTTGGTCATGTTGGTACTTGAGGATGAAGTTTAGAGCTGGTAGTCGAGGTAGGTAGACTAATAAAAATTAGAGAGAAATTGATCATGAATACATTGGTCTTGAGTGCTGTTATGGGTATGAGGGTGATTATCACTTCCCCGGTTACCCTCACAATGGAAGGATTCTTCTAGAGGTACCTGGAAAGGGAATTGGGCTATAATTCGTTTTAGTGACCTGAGAGCGTGACCGCAGTGTCCAATAGACAACTAATTGAAGCCGGTCACACACAAACTTTTTGTAATTTTTAAGTTAGCCCCGTACTTGTTAAGACCTTACCGCCAGCGACAGAAATCCGTGGAAAGAGCAAGGTTTGAATTTTTAGGGTTGACCTTCCTTAACCCCACCCTTAATTTGTGGGAAGGCGGCATCGCTATTATGCTGGTTGTCTGAGGAAGACACCTTGCTGCCATCACACTTCTGTACAGTCAACAGTATGGCTTCGCCCTCGGATCTTAGGTTTACTGCTTTTAGTCCTACAGCTCTCCAATCGACCTGCATGGTATGGTAGGACCTTGAGGAAAGATTGTTCTAGCCAGTATAGCCCGATCGGTTCATCACAATAGACAAGCCCGACCACCACGTCAAGGCAGCAGAACCATCGATCGCCAGATCAGTGTGATCTTTAAATTAACTGAAATCACACTATGATATAGATATATATTATTACCGTAAGGTGTATTTAGGTCACATTACGAAAAAAATTGAGCGTTGAAAACCCACTATTTTGATTCTTTGATTAGCTGGCGATATTTCGGTATACAAAGTAGCACAGTTACACTGGTTATCGTAGATGGCTTACACAGTTAAGAATTAAACTACTTGCAAATATTTCCGAGAATACAAATGGCAACGAGAGATAAAACGAAAAGGGTAAAATAGATAAGATATACATCACAAAGAAAAAACATCTCATTCACGTACAGAAATACAGAACAAAGTATTATTCATTTTTTTCTGTTGCATCGTGGAGAAATCCTCCCATTTTTAAACAGAGAGAATTGTATGATATACGACGCAAATACACTTTAATATTAAATATACAAACGCGTCATTCTTAAAACAATACGACAGGATAAAATTAACGGTTACAGAAAAAGAAAACACTCATGTAGGAATATTCTGAAGAATTATTTCGATTTCGCTGTTTTTCTATATTACTGATATAAATTACCTAGAGGAAATTACGATGCAAACAACATCCACTACTTATGTGCATAACCAATAATTTTACAGCATTACACACTACCATAAGTCATGTAACCATTCGGATCCTATCTATTTTGAAACAGGGACAATAGTTTTTCATTTCATTTTATAGCATCGTATTATAAGTTGATAGTCAATCTATGTATTGTTTTTCTTAAACACAATCAAAGGTAAGAATTTGAAGAAAATATATGAGGATGAAATTTACAGAACAGAACAAAACAACGAATCGATTGTTTCCATAGTCATTATTATCAAACTTGAGTTAGCGAAGTCCGAACTAATAATAAAAAGTAATCATTGAAGTTTTTTAAATTCCAGACAAAATACAAAATAAAAAGAAAGAAATCCTGGGAATTCAGGACGTAACTATTGATTTATAACGGTAAGGAAATCAATGAAAAATGAATCAATAGCGATTTGTAACTAAACCCTGCGACACAAATCTACGCCCTTTCAAAAGCAAAGAACTTGTGAGTTACACTTTGAAACAAGCATATTTTTCCAATTTCAAATTCTAATTTAGTTTGATCAACTGAAAATATGCACATTAACAAAGGCACCCTCATAAATATTGAACAGTTAATACTCATTGATATTGGACTGTAAATGTCATCACCTGATCGATCAGTATCTACAAAGTCGGACAACAGCTGAGTTAAAAAATCTCATGAATTACAAAATTGTTCGTCTGGAAATAAGTAAACTCAGGCTAGTGGACTGTAATCCACATATCAAAATCTGGTAGATAACTTATACAAATCGTTTTTTTTTAATATGTATGGACAAAACCACATCTAGTAGAGAAAAAAAGGCAATCAATTTTATTAACTTACACCCATTGTGTCGGCCACTCGATTATACAATTCCTCTTTTATATGAAGTTGATGAGCTTTTTCTACTAGATCTGCTCTGACCCTATCCAGTGATTCACGATAATCACGTAACATTTCCAGCTGTGTTAAAAGTTCTGTTGAAAAATCTAAACTTTCACTTTTGAACGATGATGATAGTGCTTCAGCTACGGTCTAACAAAGTATTTTTTTAAGAAATGAGCAATACAAAAAATTATTAAATCATGATACACTGTTTAAATGACATCTATTTAGTAGTGAGCGACAAAGTATTTTCAGGATAAAGTTACGACAAATCTCAATAATCTGTAACTAAATAACTAGTTTTTTTTTGTATCATAAGCATATTGTATTCTTTAATACTAACCAATACATATGAAATGTAAAAAATATTATAAACATGACAATACATAAAAGTGACAAGGTATCGTATTTGTTCGCAATTAACTTAGTGCAAACAGAAAAAACAATGGATACAAAAGAACCAAGTAAAGTTTGTGAAAAAATATGTGTACTAAACAAAGTTAAACAGTGACAACGAACAGATACAACAGGAACAATATATGATTTCGAAACGAATTTCAAAGTTGGAAAAGTCCATGAAAATATTGAATGACTGTAAAGCTGAGTAACAGGTTCAAGGATTAACAGTTGAATATTTGGCATATTCAAGAATAATCATATTTTATTAAAACCGCTTAAATCTTTTTAGGAACGATAACTACTTGCACATTCTTTTTCAATTTAATTTCCCACATGATCTTTGCTTTCTGGCCAGTTATCATTATTTTTGGTTCACTAAATTTCTGTATGCTTAAAGTTCATAATTTACCAATATGGTAGGGACAATTGTACCGATTCGTTTTGTGTTGTTCGTTCTACTTCGAATATCAGGTTCTCTGCAATCCGTTTTCTTCCTGTGTCAGCCGTCGGGGTTTTTATTTGTTGTGTGTAAATGCTCTAATATGGACACACGTATACAACCACTGCCACGGAAGTCTTACTCACTACCTTCACGTGGCGCAGGTTTTCTTTACGGTGACAACACGGAAAGCGAGTGTCCAGCGCTTCAAACGTACTAATGGACACAGAGGATCCAATTAGGGAGGTTGGGAAACCCTTATTCCAAACCAATGGTGCAAATGGGCTCCAGGATGTTGAGGGAACAAATGGCGTATAAATCTTTTGTGGTTATCGGCTACCATGGGACTGCATCTCCTAACGTTGCTCCACTGACTTGTGGATTAGACCTGCAGGTCAAAGGCTCGGAGAGTGGCCACCTAAGAAAACCACCTGCTTCAGTCTGGGCTCCCGAGCAGTATCACAGCCCTCACACAAATCGAATGATAAAGTGTTGCACATATATATTTGGTGTTTCTTTGGACTAATGTTTAGGTGTTTAAATAAATAAAAGTCTTAGATGATGATGGTGATCAATTCATGATGGCATAATAAATGGCCTTAAATACACCATTCATAAATCAAAAGGATGTCCACTTAAAAATAATTAAAAGTTCCCGGCTGATGCCTTTCATTGAAATAATACGTGTGAAAAATGTACTACCTGAACAATTTCGAACTAGGGCATTTCAAACAATAGTATTTTATTTATTTCAGCACATAGATATTGGTACAAAGAGGCACCAAATACATATGCACCACACAAATCTCATTCGATATGTGTGAGGGCTGTGATACTGCCCGGGTGCCCAGACCGAAACAGGTGGTTTTCTTAGGGGGCCACACCCCGAGCCTTCGACCTGAGGGTCTGATCCACAAGGCAGTGGAGCATCGTAAGGAGACGCAGTCCCATGGTAGCCGGTGACCAACAATTGGTTCATACGCCATTTGTTCCCGCAGGATATTGGAGCCCATGTGCACCATTGGTTTGGAATCCAGTTAAAGCGCCGGACATTCGCTTTTCGTCCTCTCATTTTCGTGAACAACACCCCCGCCACGATATACTATCACATATCTGTCCTCTATATTTAATATTACTATCTATATCAAGCTGATCATGTCTCTAAACTAACATGAATACCATAATTATTATTTTCAGAATATAAATACCATTATACATATCGATAGTAGGCTAAAACCACTGTAACTTGACGATTAAATACATAAATAATTTTTTTCGGATAAACTATAGAAATGAACAGAATAAAGACACTGGGAATGATTTGCAATAAATAAACTCAAACCATATTAATGATTGTTCTCTTCAAAAATATTAAGATAAATAAATCCAACATACTTGTTGTTCTTCTTTATAGTGGACTGCTATAAGTTCACGCCAATCCTGTTGAATTTGAGCTAATTCACTTGGTTCTAAATCTACAAAACTGCAGTCTTTGCATGATTTAAGTCGAGCCATAATATTTTCAAATTTAGGTCTACTAACAGGAGTAGGTGACCAGCAATCTAAACATCAAAAAAAAAATTATTGTTCGATGATCATAATTATCTATACTAATTAATCGTACAGAAAACGGTTAATTATAAACAGATATGTGACGAAAAATAAGGTGCAAAGTGGAGTACATAATAATATTTCTGAAACACACATTACAGAACAAAACTTAAACTGACCTATTATAAAAAGATGTGAATTGCAAAGTAGACAATAAACGGCCTATATATATATATATATATATATATATATATATATATATATATATATATATATATATATATATATATATATATATATATATATACCGACCTACTACCACGGACTACATGACATCAGTTAGTCAAAGCATCAGATGATTATGCCAAAACATAATGAAATCATAGTCAACCATGGGAAACAGCTGTTCTACTAACCGTTTCGAAGATAAAATAAATAATACCTGAATAGTCCAGGAGACAGTTCAGAATTAGTAACAGTGTTGAGTATGCTAATTTCTCTTTACTTATTTTTTATAGAGATGTTCAAATTCATTTTTCCAACCATAATCCACATTTTATCATTCATTATACAATAAGCTTCGTTTCTTACTTTGTTTTGAAATTACCTGATAAATTTCAATGATATACTAGAATATGAGAACATCTTAATCATAACTGAAATGATTATCTTGGGCATTTCGTACACAAGTTAATCAACATTAATATATTTATTTACACAGCTTACGCCAATTTACTAACAGACAGCAGATAATACAGAATTGAGTGATGTTTCATAGACATTATATTGAGAAAAAATAATGGTTTAAACTTTCAAAGTACAAAATTCAAAGTAATAAAGATTGAAAGTATCTTTTCCGTAAGAAATACAATAAAACTAATATTTCTATGTAATATGTAAGACAAATGAATATAGCATTAATTATAATTAGGATTTTTAATCCGGTTTGATACTCGTATTCGATAAATTTTGGCAATAATTTAGTCAAAGAGAAAAAGATTTCAAGAAGCATTTTGTATTTACAAGAGTAAATAGAATGTTCCATATTGTTTCTATTTTACTACAAATGAATGATAACTATACAGAAATTTAGGTCTCTTAAAATACCATACATTTATGTGATAGTCATAGTAAAACTACCTTCAATCGTAAATACATTCCATAAACATGTGATGTAATAATTTTCTCGAAATTAAGGTTATTTTGGGTCATATATTCTTTGAAGAAATATAGTCCCATGTGGATTTTGATGAAGATTGTCGACAAATTAATAGCATGTATATATAGGTATAAATGACAGCACTGACTCCCATATACTTATCAATACAGGTTTACATTATTAATTTTGATAACGAGTACAGGTTGATGTATCCGAAGTTAGTGACATTTTTGTATGGGAACAAAACAATACAATCTACCTTCTCTGATCGGAACATATGAAGTGAATTCGGAATTTACCAACTGAAGGCTTAGAAATCAAAGAACTTAGGATCAGTAAATAGTAGATTCGAACCCTGCCCAATCTACTTCGGTTTGGGCAGCTAAGTAATGGGACTAGCAACCATACAAAGAATGTGGCTTAAAGCTTAGCATATTAACCTATACTTAGTAAATGATTTACATTCAACTTAAATATTACTATCTTATACAACCCAAAGTGCGACAAACCTTTAAGTAATTGGACAAAGAGATCTGGAACGCCTGGTGGTATGTACAGAGTATAATTATGCATTGCAATAATAAACAATAATCTAGGTTGCTCCATTGCGCGAAACGGTATATCTAATGTAAGCAACTCCCATAACACAACACCATATGACCAAATATCCGATTTGAAAGAAAATCCCTCCTAAAGTCAAAAAATAATAATTCGAACAAATTATGGCCGAATAGGACCATTTATTCCATATGTCATTTATAATGGTAATATTATGTATGAATGGATAATATGACCTTACAAATTTGCTGCAAATAAAAGTGAAAGTTGAATATTTTTCAAGAAAAGACAAACTAAGTTTTACAAGAAACAACTTTTCTCATTCAACGTAAATTCAAACATGCAAACAACACAGCCGTCAATAATGCATGTCTTCAAAGTGAATGATAATTATGACAAAAACTTGAATACGATAATAGAAAAACATTCCAGGGAAAACTATCAAGTGATAGATTTCAGGATCAAAACAGCTTTTCGAATCATAAGTACGGCAAACATGCTTTCATTTCTAATTAACTAGAAACATATATATTTACATTTTGTTAGTCCATTAGGTCTAATATCATGTTTGTCCACAAACAAAGATGTGGTTGGGCTCTACAGTGTGCTTTTCAATTTTGTTATATTATCAAGATAAGTAGTTTTAATTAAAGTTATTCCGGCAACTTTCCAGAACAAAATATTCAATTATAAGAAAATAAGGACTAACTTGACGACAAACTTCTGGAGCTGCATATGCAACAGTGCCTAGTTTAGACTGTTGTGGTGCTAGTTGACTAGAACGACAAGCCATTCCGAAATCAGTTATCAATAGGGTACACCTTTGAAGTTCATTTAGAGAAAATGGTTTTTGAATAGCTTCTCTGATAAGAACTAAAAACAATAATAGAAAACAAATAGTTAATCTTAAAATTAACTTATCAACAAGGAAGAATGCCGTAAACGTCAATAAATAATATCACTTAGTACCTGATTTCAAGTATTTAACTTGAAACATTTTCTAATGGAAAATAATTCAAAAACAAATACACTGATCCACTGCTTTGAATGACTGGTTTACATTGTAATAAAACCTTTTGATCAATATGTCTTCGTAACATTAATGCCTTCACCCTTTATTTAAAAGTGATTAATAAGATTTACCTAACCTCATGAGTAAGATGAGTTCACATTCGAAGACAAAACAGACCTAAACAAAGATTGAAGTCCAAAAACCAACTTCAATGGAGAATAACTGAAAATATTTCCTACAAGAAATATTTTTTACCATAATAAATTAACTTATTCTTAGCATTTCTCAAAACGAAAACGATCTAAAGACTTACTGTTAGATGATTTTAAATCTCGATGACAAATTCTGGCATCTGTATGTAAATATGCCATTCCACTAGCGATCTGTAATGCCCAATCAAGTAGAACAAGGGGACCTAATAAAGGTCGTTGATTGAGAACCATGTTCAGAGAACCACCATAAGCATATTCCATTACAAGTGCTGGGAAATTAGAGCTGTCTAATCTGCAGATCCCATAAAATCTCACAATGTTCCGATGAGATAATCTGCACAAATGCAAAGCTTCATTGTCTACCTATGAAAAGGATGACAATGAAGTGTTAACGAATAAGTAAGACAGGTGTGTAACACAACTAGGTTTTTCAGATATTCTTATAAAATGAACTTTGTCAGTATTATATGTGATTTTCTTCTAATATACTTGGTAAATGAAGTGGGTCCGAGGGCCAAACAATAATTTGCTGAAGACTATTTCTAGTAAAAACATAGACGAACGAGGTTGCAGCTGATCTTCAACTTTCAATTACCGGTAATGAATTTTGAGTCTCACTCCCTCTAGTCCGGTCTGACAACTGACTAAGGTTCGATTTAAATAAATGAACTTGATAAAACTTAGTGACAGCCTGTCAGATTTCCCTCTTCTTAAAAATGAGAATTTGATGTCAGATTTAAGAAAACAAAAAAAACTAGTTGGATGTGGCGAAATCATTACCGCAAGTATGCCTAAGTAAAATTAACAATAAATTTTTCCGTTCTTTTGTTTAAAAATCATTGCCATTGTTGTAATTAGGCGTTGCGAAACCAAGCATTTTCGTTGGTGTGCCCAAAAATCAAATAAACCATTTCTATAAGTTGGACGGTAAGGAGCTATTCATAACAAATCACGATCGTATAACGATATGTTCACCTAACTAATGAGTTTCATAATCTCCGAATTTATTTATTTATTTATTTTAACACATAGATTTTGGTACAAGGAGGCACCAAATACATATACGCCACACAAATCTCATTTGATATGTGTAAGGGCTGTGATACTGCCCGAGTGCCCAAACCGAAGCAGGCGGTTTCCTTAGGGGGCCACTCCCCGAGCCTTCGACCTGAAGGTCTGATCCACAAGGCAGTGAAGCATCGTAAGGAGACGCAGTCCCATGGTAGCCGGTGACCAACGACTGGTTCATACGCCATTCGTTCCTTCAGGATATTGGAGCCCATGTGCACCATTGGTTTGGAATCAGGGTTTTCCAACTCCCCTATGTGGAATCTCCATGTCCACCAACCCGGTTTAAGCGCCGGACATTCGCCTTTCATCCTCTCAATTTCGTAAACAACACCCCCGTCACGATAAGGCAAAGAGTAGGACTTCCCTGGCAGAAGCTATATACGCTTGGCCATGTGAGAGTATTTCGAGAGGGAGAGCGGACTCTCCCCACTCTAGGTCGTACCAGGGCATTTATGGACAATCTCCGAAACTTCAGCCACATAGTCCGTTAACAAACAAACAAAGTATGGATTCCTAGACGCTGAATGTCAACAACTATACTCGATGATTTTCACTGCTCATTTACAAATACTTACTTGACTTCATGTTAGAAACCCATTTATAAAAAAGGGACAGTTAGGCAAATGTTTTAAACATTATAGTTAGTGAGAATATTTAATTTATCAAGCTAATGAAAAACAAAAATTCACCTGATTTGTAGCTAGATCAAATACTTTTAGTGCAATATCCTGTTCACGCCAAAGACCTCGATAAACTTTTCCAAATGCTCCTGAGCCAATAAACTGTAACAGAAGTGAATAATACGAGTATTTTTATTTAATAGAAGAAAAAACTCCAACCCATTTATATGTTAACAAAACTAGTGTGTGGCATGCTTAAATAGAAAAATCATACTAACCAGTAAAGAAGCCATTTTAATCATTAAACGCCGTTAGATAAAATGCCATTAAGCTCTACATCAATGTGTACCATAGCCAAACAACAACAAAACTAAACTTGAGAAGACTAAGAGGAAGAAAATAAGTCTGTATGTGGCAAACTAAATGGAATTCATAACTTTTAGCCACAGCATTTACTTCTTTTAACCACAATAAATATTATCAAAGCAAATAGTGTGCTCGATTAGAGCATTCGATAATTTTTTAAGGAAACAGATATGAATTTTATGCATTTCATCACCATATTTTAAACTTTGAAGAATATTACCCTACAAGATTTTCAGCTTGTTGTCCACTTAAAGATGTCTAATCACCTTTATTACCTTTCTTTACATGAGGCGTCCAAACGAAAACAGCTACGTCAGAAGAAAGAAGCAAACAAATGAAAACTGGGTAATTCTCAAAAGCAGAGTTTAGATACAGTACAAACATTCTATATACCCGATACACGAAAACGACAGACAAACTCTAAATCTCAATGAAAAAGTATAAATTACTTTTTGAAAGGCCTCAGGCAATTAAATAATGCTACACTACTACTCTTGGAAATCTAAATGTGAGGACCGCCCACGGACGAACTCAGGGAAGTTCTAAGAATCTCAGGAAAAGCCGAAGATATTCCATCTAATCATCTTTTGGAATAGCATTCCAGAATCTCGACATGTAGCTTCCCTATTGGACAAAAACTAAAAACCACTGAATGCAGATTGGATGATTATAATGATGATTTCACTTTTACTAAAAACTATAAATACAACAACACAATGTAATTTCATACTGCGTACGTTAAATTCAAATTTTCGCTTGTTTCTCATAGAAGTACTGAACTTATTGGGATTAGTAGTATTTCATTAGACCATTTCGAATTCGCATGTGACCTTCAAATATAGGTATTCGTACGTCACTAATATTTGGTCGTAAGTTTTTTTGAAACATTGATCTCGCACTATGTGACAATCTATTGAGCGATGTTACGGTTGGACGCTAAGTACTAATTAAAAATAGTAGATCGATTGATGAGGTTGCAAAATGTCATCGACTTAACTGGTTGAGACATGTATTACGTATCCCAAAATACTGGTTACCACGACATCCAATGTCGGCAAGACTAAGGACAAGTTAGCTCGTAAAGTCATCGACTGTTGACTTGAGACATTTTGGATAGTTAAGACTTTCTGATTGGAGTTCAGAAAATTATCCTGATCAAAGTTTGAAGATACTGCGTAACACGGATAAAAATCGGGCACAATGGTATATATTAGATTATGAGTTTCAGAATTATTTTATTTAATACATTAATTCACTTATTTTCGAACCACATGACCTGTTTAATATTTTCTACCATCACTGATATTAACGACAACTTTATCTCGCTTTGCTGATGTAGTGGGAAATGAAACCGACACATTTATACCGTTTTACTTTTACTATGACCAACTGGCTAAAACTTCACTAAGCAAATAAATATTGCCTGAATACTCTTAGACAAACTTTTTATTTTACTTTGCAATAAAACGCACCTGTTGTTGCACTAACTCAGTAGCAGGAATTGTTCTAACATGACCGTGTCTAAGGATTACGTCACTGTCGGGTGACTTTTTGTCGAGAGATATCTCTTCCTTTGTTTTTACAGTTATAGTTTTGTCCGTATTGTAACCTATCCCAAATGTGACATCATTCCATTTATTTGGTTCGAAAGAATTAGCTTTCATTTCATTCGCTCCTGAAGATTCACTGTTTGCAATGTCATCTGGATTTAAAACATATCCACTAGGAAACACACCAACATAACCTGTTTTTGGTTCTTGGCCAACCCACCATCCTTCAGCTCCAGAATGTCGACAGTCTTTGGACAAAATCTGTAGTAGATTAAAAAAATTCAAAAACCAGAACCAATGAAATGTAGAGAGTATCAACTCACGAATTGATTTCCTAGAAATGACAAACTCGAAAACTTTAGCGACATATGATTTTAAATTCTCAAATAACAATGTTGTAGATAGTAGAACGAAAAGTAATGTAAAAGCCGTAAAACCTAAAATGTTATTTTATAAGTAAACACTAGATTGGATCGTAACAATAAATAACCAGAATTCTTCGTAAATTGAAACGTTACTTCTTAACTGAATGAAATCTAAGTTGACTGCTTTATTAAATACACTTTATCTTTTAGTAAAAACAATCCCTGTTTATTTATCTATTGATCACATGACTTTTTCTTATGTTGTTTATTCACAGTATTATCATTTCAGTTGTGTGGTGAAAACTTTCACTAACCTGTAGTACCAAATTTTTGTTAGGAATATAATACAAAACAGAACTTAAGTTGTCGAGGTTTAATATATTGATATCTTACTTGAATAAGATGGGTTTCCGAGGCAGACGATTTTGTGGCAGAAGTGCCAGAAGTAACAAAAAAGCTGATCTTAAAAAAGTGATTATCACTAAACAAGATAGCACAAAAAGATTTTGAACTGAAAAAGTGAAACATTCTTCTCGTCCATGCATACATCAGAAGAAAATTTCACCAATTGTTTCGAAAAACAAGGTTATAACCTGTTTTAAGACTGAAGAATATGATTAACTTTAGGCTTTAGAAAGTATATCTATTTTTCACAGCCATAGAAGCAGTGACTGGAATGTACATACATTAGTCTATACATGGGAATTGATTCACCTTGGAAATAGCGTTAAGATCCTGTGCTTTGAAGATATCAGAAATCATTCTATAGTATATGGCACTTCTTTATATTCACTGAAATCTCTCCACTACAAAGTGGAGAAGACTGATTGCACAAATTTCAGGATGACAGAGTTTAAACTCGTGTCCACAGCTACATTACTACCTTGAAAGTTGTTAAGGAGAGTAAGTTGAACTTCGCTTTGTATACTTAATTTAGCTACACCAATATCCAGTTACTGGTGGTCCTCCACTTTATCTCCCTGATAAAACAAAATATCGGCTGATCACTACCACCCTCTAATATCATTCAGATTTCAGAATTTTTCTATCGAACCCGTGGAGAATCGACACTTCAGAATACATTATTGATAATCCGGTATGAAACAAACAAGGCGAATCTGGATGACATAACAAGAATAATAAGCAACCAATGGATAAGGTACAAGGCACAACAAAATGCCTAACTAGATCATCCATATAAACAAGAATCCTATACTTCTACTGGAAGATACAGATTGACGTCAATACCTTGAAGACTTGTGGCAAATAATTGTTTCAAACTAAATCTACCCCAGTAATCATATATCACGCCACTTAGAAACTCAGGGTGGATAGTGAATCCATTCGTCTTATGTTGTGCAGATTTGCAATTTAGTCAAGTTCTTACTGTTTTCTCAGTTTAGTAACGAATGTATCAAGTGAATTCGTAAGGACCAACTGTTAGGCACATTTTTAAAACCATAAACAAATACCTTAATTTTTTGACCCGTTCGTAGATTTATTTCATCTGAATGCTGAGGCATGTACGAGTAAATTGCAGTAACGTATTCAGAAGAAGCTTCGCAATGTTCACCAGAGTATATTGGATCCATTTTACTACTGGCTAGTGTATTGTATTCTGAGGCGCTCTCCTGATAAGAAGTAGGTTTTTCTTCTACCATAGTTATGTACATGAAAATTCCAAGAATATATTGAAAGACGTAAACCAGTATATCACATGCAATGAACTCTTGTTTATTCAGTAAGTAACGTGGATAAATGAAGAATAAAGGTCGAAATTCCGGTAACTGGTCAAAGGAATCGAAACACACGAATATAAAGATAAAGGACAAAGAGAATGAATATTTAGATGAATCCCTTGATAATTTGAATGTTAGTTTTTAAATCATATCACATTCCTATTTTAGGAGTAATAATACCCATCTAATATTTCTTAGTAATCTGCATCCAGCAGACACTTTTGACTTTATACTGATACAAATAACTTTACTAACTATAGATTTGATGAACATGGAAAGATCATTCAAATCCTTATTAACTGAAAATGTCAAAGGAACAAATTTTACTGAATCCCTTAGACGAAAGCTTGAAAACAGATTATAGTTTGTCCCTACTAAATGTGTCCGTTTAGTAATGAGCAGCGTAGTGACAGAGTACATTGGTTACTTTTGTTCACTTGGGTATCCAACATGACGAGTTATTGCTTCACAAAATACTTCCGTCGAGAAGAAAACATTATTTATCTTGACCATTTTGCAGAACCTTTACCATAATTGAAACATCTAATGTCTGTTAGAACGTAAAGATATCATACAACTGCTTATTACCCTATACTAATATAAGGTTGCGAAATATGGTCAATGAAACCAAACGGTATAACTCAGCGAATAAATACGGACACAAAGCTGGTGATACTACGTGCCCTTCCAAACCACAAATGCGCGCCATAACAAAGTTACAAGTATTCGGAAAATATTTTTGTACATGATAGGAACACTGAGTAAGTAATGTCAAGATTAAGTTCAACGTTGCAAGCAAAATAGATCGGCAAGTTAAATTTGTAAATGTGCACCCACTGACGATTGTGTATTGGTTAAAAGAAAGAGTAATGACTTCAGTACGTAGCATTTATCTCTGAAGTCAATGACTTTTGGCCTGGATTATATACGGGATTGATGACTAACAGGAATCTGTGGGATGTCAGACATACGTAGTTTAACAAATAAGGCAATATGGACTGAAATCGACCATAGCGGTACAGATACAGTTGCTTCCTGTAAGTCATGAATAATAAAATTCAGTGTTTAGTTTGTCCGAGTTGAAGTGGGAACATAAAGATTACAGTAGCTCGGTTGATCGAATACAGCATAGAATCCAAAACATGTGTACATCAGTTAGTTTTCATAGAGAAACGAAATTGTTACGTCAAATCTGGCAGCAGTATAGGCTGCAACAGGACTAATAGTTATAAAAAAGATTGGGTATCGGAGATGACGTTCGGGATCATATATAATTTTTAGAACGATAGAAATTTTATGAGGAATCTAGAAACTTCAGATATAAGGGCAGACAAAGGTGAATGCACCCGCGCCAATATGAACGATTTAGAGTAATATCGTTCAAAGTCTAACCACTAGTCACCATTATCAAGTGAACCCCAACCACTTACTTTGCACCTACCTACATGGTTCAGTCCAACAGCTAGTGTCTTCATGGACTGGTGACATACCTTGTTTTGACCTCCCCCATCTACCATTCAACCTACTGCACTAACCATCATCGCGCGTCAACGTGGTCCGTGGATCACTATACGTAGATCATGTTCCAATTATCTAAGTCGACAGTAAGCAGATATTCGTATTATCATTCAATCGAGTAGAGCACAGATAACGGTCAACTTGGATTCAGTTCAAAGGCCTTTATCTCAATTTCGAGTTGAATGGTGGTTTAGTGGTCAAATGAAATGGTTTCAAACAAACAGTTGTATGTCCAAACTCAACCCTATCTGTTTTAATTTGAGCAGTTTAATGACAGTAGCTTTCAAACAGCAAAATTGTGTAATTTCATAGAGTTGCTAATGTTTGAAACCTTGACATTATATACTAATGACTTAAAAGTTACCTAATGCACCAACATTGAGCTGAGTAGGACCTACAGTCTTGTTTTTAAACAACACTGTGAGCTCATCATTTGGTCAGATATTAAGTAATATTATGATATTACCTTAAGGTTTAACTGTCAACCAACTAGCCCCAGACACATGATACTAATTATGTGCTTGAAAGTATAAACACCAGTACACAGGGGCACCAGACACATATACACCACACAACAATGTAGTAGCAATTATCATTGATTTGTGTGTGGGCTATGACACTAACCGGGTACAAAACTGAAGCAGGTAATACCTTCCGTTTTTTGTCGTAATTTACTTAAAAAGATTTATGAGACAAGATCCAGGTAAAAAAAATCATGATAACTAGTAAGTTGGCACTTTGATGTTCTAATTTACGTACACCTGAATGCTAGGTAGCTGTTTTCAGGGTCTAGTTAGTTACAAGGCATGTTAGTGAGAAATCCCTTACATAGGTCCGTTATGTTATAGTCAACACTCAGTGATGAGGATTATCAAATATCAAATCCGTTTTAGCACTACAGTAGCAAGGTTATGTACCAAGATATACAATGGAGCACTCTCTCAATACACTCTAGACACATAAATTCAAACTAGGTGCAATTTACTGGTTAAAAATTTGATTAAAAGTACCCACAATTTGTGACATATTTTTACTCATTTTAACGTTCAAATTAATTTGATGCTTTCCACCTACTACCTCCCCGATACTACAGAACAATCTCTCACGGCTGATGTGCACGGTATTAAAGTACTGTAACTAAGACAAGAATGATTGCAGTACAGAACAGTAGGTAAATATCAAACATTATACTCAGATCATTAAGCGTAGCTCGAGCTCAGACCTGAACAGTTCCGATAAATAAGATAACAGCACGTGTAAACTGAACCCAATCATAATTCTAAGAAGACTGAACCAAACTTTTCAAAGAATTTGAAGGTAAAGAAACGTACCTGACCTCCAAATACACTCAAACACTACGGGAAACCCAACTATTAGATCAATTTATTACAGACTCAAACCTACCTCACAACCTTGACCCAACATTCCTTCAATAGATCAAGACTTAATTATTTCAGATTTCACATTCAAGTAGTAAAGGCAGGACTCCGACTGCTTATGCTTGTCCCTTTCTGTTTATCCTCTGTGAGTCCTCAGTATTTCCATGAACAACTTAACTGAAGGTGTTGTAGCGGTAAATAAATCCCCAAAATAAATAGCTATGTAGGTTTTCGATATTGGATGCTGACAACATGTTTTAATGGACTCGCCTAGCTGAAGGCGCTCGGTCATGCATCCGCACCAAATCGCCAGTTGGAACACCGTGCTCAACATCTACTACAATCGCTAGCCAGATTAGATCAGACGATTCTCGATATATTGATATCACATCAAATATATCTTTCAATCTCCTCGATTCTGTCTTTTGATTTCTCTTGGTGGGTACGAGTTATGTTAGAAGGTGTTACTGGTTAAAGTGTTGTCAAACACTGAATACCTGTGCCATCTTCAGTGTGAACATTACATGCTGTTGTAGGTTCCAAGTGTTGATAACAGTGTTAAAACCGGTAATTCACAAAAAAATGGTTTATTCCTTGTTTTGAAGCTCGCCTGACTTATTCTTCGAATTATATTGATTCAGTACAAAGAAAAAGGGAGGATATATCAGATCTAAAACCATTTCCATCTATCGTATTGAAGATGACATAGCTATTTGGAGTTTGACATTGCTTTAACCAGTAACACCAAATATGAACCGTACCTACCAAGTGAAATCAAAAAACAGAAGTGAGGAGCTACGAAGATATATTTGATAGGTTATCAGCATATTGAAGGTTAACTGATATAATCTGGCTAGCGATTGCAGGGGATGTTGAGCACGGCGTTCCCTTTGATGACCTGATGAGGATGCATGACCGAGCGCCTTCAAATATATGAGTCCATTAGAACTAATGTGGTCAGCATCCAACGACTTTGTTGGTGGTAAACACTCTTCTGATAGCGCTATGCTTAGCAGCGTCTAATCGTCTTTCCGTACTACAAAGAACCATGAAGTACAATTTAGTAAAAAATAATGAAAAAGTACGGGAAAATTTTCGGATCATCGTAAACTCCATCGTTCATTTCATCGTATTTTCCAGCCGTCCTGGAAAAGAAAAAAATATGTAAGTGCATGTCAAAATACACTCGTACGCGCTTTAGGACACTAAGCGGGCGAAAAAAAGAAAATAAACGAATGCACACGTAATAGAGTTTAAAAAAGAATTTTTGTAATACGGTTTTTTCGTTTTGTTTTTTTTAAGTAAAAATATAAATATATAAGCATATTAAAATTGATCTTTCTTAAAAGTTATATATAGTAAAAAGGAAAATCAAGACGATATAAAATGTCAACTAGTATCTCACGTGCGATAATCGTTCAAATGTTCCGGAAATCTTAATCTTCTTCCAGAACGCGTTGTTTAGGTTTATTTTCTGATACTGCCGAAGTATTATCGTGCGTGTTGGCTGTCGAATGAGGTAGTACAAGTGTAGGAGCCGTGTAGTTTGATTGTACCGGAGAAAATCGTCGTGAATAGGATTTACTTATAAGTGCGTGGCTTCGAGGCGATCGATGCTGACGCCATCTTTGGTTCGTTCTTTTTTACCATAACGTACCTGAGTTCTCGCTGAGGGACTTTGAAGGTTAATTTGTAGGCTGATTCGAGAGGTTATCGAAGTGAGTTACGACACACAAAAACGTATGTACTTTATCGTAAGGCAGACAGAACGAAAACAACAATTGATTATGGTCGGTTGGATACAGGTTTAACTGAACGCATTGTGTTCGTAATTTTGCTCCTGTAGGAGTATAGTTCCATATTCATTGAAGAAGATGAAGAATCTATGAATTCTCCTGGAAGTCAGAGTGTCGCACCATAAACGCGTTGAGCTGCAGTGTATCAAATGTCAGCTTTCATTGCATTGTGAATACTGATTAAGACGAGCAGAAGAGCGTCGTTCTACTGTGAAACCTTTGCAACTGATATTGAAGCTTGTAGTTGTTGTCGAAGGCATTCTCCCAACGTTTTGGCTTGTGGGTGATGGGCAGTTGTTCGGAATCGTGTGATTCCTAGTAGTGTCGTAAGAAAACAAGGTCAAAATTTTGGAGGTAGTATTCTCTGTCGGGACTTGTTATTTTGCCATCAATAACATGTGCGTACATGGAGTTGACATCCCTGAATACGTCATTGATGAATCTTCTAAATGTTTGTGCAGAGTTCCCGAGACCGATGAAAACGGATGAAAATTCGCAGATTTGAGTGGAAGTGATAATTGCTGTTTAAGTTTTGCTTTTTACAACCTCAGGAATTCGGTCATTCGCTTTGACATGATAGGTTTCCCAGAAATCAGTTTCAACTTATAAGGTCACTATGAGGTCATGGGTGTGTGGTAAGTGGTAACGATCGAGAGCAGTTTTATCATTCAGTCGCTGAGAGCCATCAGTTGGACGCCAATCGCTGATGTCCTTTTTGATATATGTGAAAAGGAGATGTCTATGAGGTGTTTGATGGCTGGACAATTCCCAAGTTTGTCATGTACTATTCTCAAATTTTCAAAAGCCTGTGGCGGCGAATTCGAAAATATAGGTGCGCCCTTAGTCGTGATATGGTGTACGACATTGTTAGTTACACATGTCAATTTTGTTCGCATTTGGTACCGTTCAGAGTACTTGTCGAGTATCCGTTGATAGTATGGGTCAGTTAAGTGCTTAGTGTGACTGCGGATAATCTGTAACCACAGGATTTAGTTATACAGATAGGTAATTTGGTATTTCGATATACAAACATCCCTGTCGATGAGTGGATTATGGTGTTGTAGCAGGTCTGCACCAATGATTGGTACAAAAACATCTGCATCAACGAAAATCCAGTGAATGAGTTTACACGAACTCATGTTAAGGTAAACACTGTATGGGACCCGTTTACCATTTGCCGCCTGTAAATTTTAAATGGTCTTGGGATTGCGGGATAAATGAATACCTTTGACCTAATGTCGACATGATAAGGAATTCGCCACAAAATCAATGATGTGTTACAGACGATTACGTCCGTCAAGTAAAGTTGCCGTTAACGCGTATCAGTGGGAAATTTCCCAAAAAGATTTTAATGTCGGATGTTTTAAATATTTGGAAACTGCAGGGTATTCTGCGGTTTCTGGAAGACTTGCCATCCATGCCATAAACCAGTCAGGATTACTGCCTCTCGTGGTCTAGAGACGAGCTTCGTCGAGGGGTTTGAGAGCGTTTATGATTATGATGATTATTTAGATAACAAGTGAGAATGACGTACTTTTCAAAATCGTGCCGTAGTGCCTCCATTACTGCGAAGAATTGTGTATACGGAACCCAGCTTTTGAGTATCAGAACCGGGCTTCGGTATGGACAGTTCAGAGTGACATAGGTTGAAAGGTGGAATTCGAAAGAGTCTTAATATCAAGGAGCTTAGGTGTCTGTTTCGTCATAACATAGTTGAGATATGTAGAATAGCGAAAAAAAAAATATCCAAAAATATCAAGACAGTGTCACTATATGTGAAAGTAGGAAAAACTCACAGTTAATTGCTTTTTGTACCAGATTACGTCGAGCTCACCATGAGGGATGCCACAAGTAGTTGGAGTTTGACAACGCCCTTGTAATCGAATTATACCAACTCAGTCAAGTCAGAAGTCTGAAATGAATCGGTTCGAAGATGTATTTGGAATGCTATCGATATATCGAGAACCGTTTGGTCTAAGCTAACTAACAGTTGCACGGTGTATTCACTCGTGAGCTGATGAGGATGCGGGACCAAGCACCCTCAGCCAGAGTGTATCCAGTAAAATTAATGAGGTATGCTTCAGTGTCGAGGATTTGCATAACTTTATTATGAGATGTTTTAATCGCTACAAATAGAATATTTCGAAGCGCGTAGTGCTGGGTAAATTTACAGACGCATAATCTCACATATTGAGTGATATCGTTAACATAAATCGATTCACAATACACCTTAGACAGAAGTGGAAATCATGTGAAGTTGTAGTTTTCAAAGTATCAAAAAAATTTGTATGATATTTAAAAGGCATAACTGAGGTCATCAAACTTTCGTCCATCTAATCATCTCGGATTCACCCATCATGATTCCAGAAAACTTCGTTCTTCCTCGAGTCAACTTCTCTGAACAAACATACATTGAAAGTGATAACTCTGCTGAAGCCCGGTTCTTCAATCTTGCAGAACATCTGTAATTATTTGAAAATGTTAGGTCAGCAACCCATTGGATAAACAGACGCTGTCCCGCTTATACTGTGTGTGTGCAAACGAGGAATTCCTAGTTGACAACCTCCCAATCCTGACTCCCTTGACGAAAAGTGATCACGCCATCATAGACTTAAGCGTTGTCAGCGAAACCGAGCTAATACATCTTGTCAATAACAGGCGATGGGATTTCAAATTGTTGAATGTGTCAGCTTTGTAGGACAATCTACAGCAGGCGGACTGGGAAGTTCACCCTCAACTCCAATCCAAAAGACTCATTCTGTCATGCAACCACTCTTTGGCAAGTCAAAACTGCTAGGACGTAATGACCCATAGAAAAACAACGGTGATGCCGCCGACCTTCAGGCATAACAGTGCTTTCGGACACCGACTGACACATAATAATAATAATTTATTCTCAAATAACAGTTTGTTACATGAAGCATGACAGTTTACAGGCAAGATCAAATTGATACAAATGATACAATATCTACTGTAGCAAATTACTCAGCTGGGTGTATAATTTATAAGATATGAATGTAGATGGTTTTAGTCAGTATCACGGTTGGCGCACTTCATGAAAGTTGCGTTGCGAATGTGCAACTGATAGTCAAGGATAGATCCATTGAAGGTGGGAGCTTCTAGGAATCGCAACCTTATGTCTTTTTGGAATATCTGAGGCTTTAAGGATGGTGCAGGATGAAATCACCCGTTCCATATCTCAAGGGGGCTGAAAGAGGGAGAAAGTAAAAGAAAGGACGA